TGCCTAAGGCCTGCAGGCTCTGAGTTATATTTATAAATGTATTATCTGAAATTAATCTTAAAAGAGGCATTTGTTCAGAATACTTTTAAAAACATAAAGTAGGCAATGTTAGAAATGACTGTTGTTGAGAGAAAGTCATTTGTATTTTGGTTTTATTTAGTTCCATGTTTAAATTATTTACTCGATTTGATTGGGAAAAGCCTGAAACCTTTATCACATGGTTGCTGATAAATGTAATTACTAATGAAATGTTCACTCTTGGTCCCTCTTGTGGCTCAGAATTCCAAGCCCATGCCAGGTCAAACAGTATTATGCAATGTACTTCGGTGCCCAAAGGGCCCATTTGTAAATGATGCTTGCTGTTTGCTATTTTCAACCTATTCTCTTTTGAGAGTACTAGGTACCAAATTGTAGACGTTTCCGTTTTTAGTTACATTACATTTGAGGCTGGTGAAAAATTTAAGTGTAATTTGTGGGAACACTGATTCGTATTAAGAAAATGTAAATATCTGTAGCACTTTCTTGCAGTTAATTTGAAAACTTTGAATGCTGAACCTTATTTTGTCAGTGATTTAGATCTGGAAAATGCATGTGTGATTTTAATTTTGTAATTGTTTTGACAAGCATAATTTCTTGGACAACTTTGTAGTTAGCCTTAACTTCTGGCCAAGTTTGTTTTTTATATAAATATATATACATATATATATATATATATAAAGTATGGTTGTAAATTCATACACTTATCACATTGAATGTGTTACTGTATACAAAACTCTTAATGCTTTATTCTCAAATGCTGGGTTGAAAAATGTTTTGAAAGCCTTTTAAAGTATATATCTTTATAAAAGTAATATTCAGGGTGATGATGGAAATTGTTTATATTGTTATGATAAAAATGACAGTATAATGTTACCCAATGTATTTAATGGTTTATTTGCAGAGGGAGAGAGGAGGAAGGTTCTCATACCATTCTTCCCTTTAAAATTTTGTTTATTGGCTTTATAAAAAAAAATTAATGTTTCAGGTAGTGTACACTTTTTCATTATCTTTTAAAGGATGATCCTGTGTCTTAAATAGTTTGTGACACATAATTAATTTGGTCTGAATATTTCTTTTTATTCCTTTCAACTTGACATGAGAGTATTGAATAAAGAAAAGAGGCTCAGAGTAGAAATGGTTGACTCTCCGGTAAGTTTATTAGCAAATCTTATAAAACCTTAAAACTGCCCTTTGGATTCAGTGTTCATGCTGGAGTTCTCTTTCAAATATGACCATATTCATGTGGGTGTGGGACTGCAAAGTGATACATGTGTAGAGGTGAAACATTCATTTTAATGCTTAAAGTTAACATAAATCTTTTCAAGAAGTGTTTTGTCATAGAATATGCTGTTTTTGCCCATCCCTGCTTACTTCTTGTTAGGCCCTATATTCAAATAGATAATAGTGATCTTTTTTTTTTTTTAATAGTGATTGTTTATTCTTGCATGAAGTGTAGGTGGGGAGTTGAGGACGGGCCCAGACTTCCTGAAAGAGTACAATCAGATCCGTCCCTGATTTGGTTGTTTTGTTGCTGTGGCGGCAGAATGTGCTATGAAACACATAAAAGAAATTCTCCATGTGCGCCCTAATGACAGCCTCCCTCTTCTCCCTGCGTGCTGTGAACACACCACACTGCACTTCTGCAGGCCTAGCTCACAGAGCTGGTTGCACCAGGTTGCCTTTCCATGTCCTGTCTGGAGTTGGGTGTGAATTGCTGAATTAGCTGCTATTCTTTATGGAGTCACAATTAAGCTTTTTCTTACCCTTTTCAGTGGGAAAGCTATGGGGGGCGGGGGTAAAGAGGAAATTGAGAGTGCTTATACTTTGTTGAAAATATTAGAACTTTCCTGTGACAGGATACAGCAAATTGTAATTAAATATAAACCAGAGCTACCTCTAAGTAGTGTTTCCTCAAGCACAAAGCTCTCAGGCATATGAGACCCTCTTTAATGGAGGCTCTCTGATTTCTTGAGCATCAGCGAGTTCAGAAGTGACTGTCTTTTGTACTCCATTAGTTCCCTGGTAACTACACACTTACTCCCATTCCACACTGTGCTTAAATGACAAAGACTCTTCTGAGAAGCCAAATTCTGTCCAAGATGAGCTCTAGATATTGTTAATTAAAGGAAAGCTTAGAACTGGAGTGGAAGAGGAGAGTTACTTGCCAGTTCTGAGAGTCTTCCGATGAAATAAATTACTTCTTTTTGGGGAGATGATCTTTTATAGGAAATGGGATATTTTAAATGCTTTAATTGAAGGCACAACAGTTAATGCCTCTATTGTTGCTAGTCTGTGGCTGACATGGTTTTGATATGGCTTTGAAATTTCTGCTAAGCTTGAGTAGAATGTTACACCAGTTTTAAATGTTGGCTGCAGCTTTTGGTAATTCTTTGCTGATTTTTGCAGTGTAATAACTTCATGAGCTAAATTTTCAGGAAGAATTTTGTTTCCGATTATGCCTCTTGTCTATTTGGGAGCAACCTGTCTTTTTCAATCATGGGATTGATAAATGAAAAATAAAGTTATTTCTTAATTGACTCCGAGAAGCAGTCTTTTATTAAGAATCTTTGATACTGGGTTGTCTTTCATGAGAATATTTTGCAGCATTTTTTTTTGGTCCCAGTTTGATTTTTAAGCCTTGTGGTCCTCCAGGCCTTTGGACCCTTTCAGACTTGCCTGTATTCCTACCTGACACATCACCACACGCAAGAATATGGTTTTTCCTGGTAACATGGAGAGGGGTCTCTTTCACTATACAAACCCCTCCTTTGGGTGGGGCTTAAAATAGTTCCATCAACATATGTATATATACATATTTTTAATTTTTCTTCCCTTGGGATGGATGGTTTTTCTCACCAAACATTTCACTAACCATATGATCTCACTTCTGCTAAAAATAACTTCTTTTTGTCATTAGTATGTTCATGCAAGATTCAGTACACACTAGGCAGCATCATTTGGCAAGTGTTCAGCTTGGCTGGAGGGAGGTATAGTGTGTCCTTTTCTAATCCAGGAGCATCACACACTATTGAGCTCATTCTTGACCTTTTTTTTTTTTTTTTTTTTTTAAATAAGTGAAACAAGAGGCTCAGATCCATTGCCATCCAGCTGAGGATGTATCTCATGTCTGCCCATCTCCTTTCTGGTTCTGTCCAGAGAAGGTAGCAGGTTTGGACTTTTACCCTATTTCAGTTGCACATAGGACTCTCTGAAGACTCCAGACAGCTTAGAAGGGTAAGTGTAGTAACTAAGAAACACTGTGATCAAGCCTGATTAATAAAAGTAAGAACCGTTAGAGGGAATCTAATACTTGAGCCCTTGAAGCTACTACTACAAAAAGAATTTTATTCAGCCTTTAAGTTAAACAAAAAGGTGTGATGTAATTGTTCATTATATACAAGAATTTTTATTACATAGTGAAAAGTCTGAAATTCTGAAAGCCTTACGTACTCATTTTTTAGAATTCCCACGACAATTCAGAGCAGGTAGCTGTCAGGATGTGCTAAAGGAGGGCAGCAGACCACACGGAATGTTTGGTGCCTCACTGGGTTGTCACTAGCAGTTGTTCAATACAGAACTTTATAAATGGTATTTTTTTTCCCAGGATAATATGTGAGGTACTCAGGAGAGACCACATGGAAAGCAAACTGACTAGGCTTTTAAAAAGTAGAGATAGAGAAGTAGATTTATTTTAATCCCATCCAGCGGTGGAGAGTCACAGCTTATAACATTTCACAGTTTGGTCAGTTGTAACTTTCTCTGAAGTGGAGTGATTTTACTATGCATTTACTGTGATCTACTGGGCGTTTCATATTTGTGCATTTTTCCTTTTAGGAGTTTTGGTCTTCCATTCATTGTTATGCATGCCCTGCAATCATAATTCCTTTGTTCCAGGATAAATCACTGCATTAATTGCAAATAATCATGTTGCTCATCTGTTGCATATGTGTTTATTTCAAATAATTTATGTTCAGGGAAAACCTTCAGATGCTTTGTCCGGGATGAACTAGTAGTTGCAGATCAGGGTCTGCCTTTAAAATCTCAGTGATTCAGGGGATCCCTGGGTGGCGCAGCGGTTTGGCGCCTGCCTTTGGCCCAGGGCGCGATCCTGGAGACCCGGGATCGAATCCCACGTCGGGCTCCCGGTGCATGGAGCCTGCTTCTCCCTCTGCCTGTGTCTCTGCCTCTCTCTCTCTCTCTCTGTGACTATCATAAATAAAAAAAACAAAAATAAAATAAAATAAAATAAAATAAAATAAAATAAATCTCAGTGATTCAATGAGAATGCCAGAATCTTTGTTCCAAACACAACTAGTTTTGTTTTCTTGTATTTGCAATAAAGAGTTCATAGTTAAGGCTGACTCCAAGCTTTTCCCTCCCTTTTTCCCCCTCTTTCCCTTTCTTGCTCTTTGTCTTCCTTTCCATTCTTATTCCTTGTCTCGATTTCCGTTTTTTTTTGTTGTTGTTTGTTTTGGTTTTTTTTTGGTAAATATTTTATTTATTCAGGAGAGACACACAGAGAGAGGCAGAGACACAGAGGGAGAAGCAGGCTCCTCCAGAGAGCCCGATGTGGGACTCCGATCCCGAAACGCCAGGATCACGCCCTGAGCTGAAGGCAGACGCTCAACCACTGAGCCAACCAGGCATCCCTCGATTTTCCATTCTTTCATCTCTTTGTCTCCATCTTTTCTCACCTACAACTATCTATTCCTTTCTCACATTTTATCTCTTCTCTGTCTTGCTCATTATCTTTCACTTTTTTCATTTTTATTCCTTTTTCGTTCCCTTGTCTCATCTTTCCTTCTGTCCTGCCTCTAGTCTCCACCCACCTCCTGCAACGCCGCATTTCTCCCCATTTCTGCCTCCTTCTCTTTCCTACTTTGTCCCCTCCCCCTTCCTCCCTTTCTCTTTTTCATTCTCTTTCTGTCACTTTGGTTAGATGGATCACACTAAACATAATATTAAGAAAAAAAACTTTAATTGGAAATTTTGCAATTGAAATGACTTTTCATCTAACACACCATGTACATGTTTTCGATACTGAAAAGTGCATCAACGCCCAGCTGTGCCCAGTCTCCTGTGCCATCTCCTAGTATCAAATTTCCTATTTCTCCTCCTTCCCCACTGCCTTTCTTCTGCCCCTTGCTGTGGTCTAGTGCAGAACACATTTCTAAATGCTAGCATGGCCCTGTAGAAACAGACCATAGCTACAATCAGACCGACTTCCTAAGCAAGTGGGAATAGACCAAGTGGTGAGAATGACTATTAGAAACCCTGTTGTCACCATCTTCAGGGGAAGTGAGTTTCTTAATTTTTTCACTTGCAAGAGTTGCTTCTTAGCCAAGTCCTTTCTATGACTAGAGAATGCAGAACAAACAGGGAGGAACAGCACAGCCTTGCAGTGATAACCAGAACACACCCTATACCCGTCTTCCCTTTTCTGGCTCATTCTTAGGCAAAGCTCAAGGACTCCTAAGCCAACTTCTATCTAACTTCCTGGGTTGCATCTAGAACTAAGAGCTAAGGAAGCCAAGGGGCTCAGAGCTGGCAGAGCAACCAGTCTTTTTCTGGAACTGCAGCTACTTTATCACCTGGTGGAGTGGTTTCAGGCTGTGTAGCTTTGACTGGACGATACATCTTTATAGAGAGATACACATCTATATACGATTGTTCCAGACTACGACAGGTGTTCTATTGATTGTTTGGCTGTGCTGTCTCAGTAGGAAGTGAGCCTCCAGCTTCCACCCTTTGGAGAGATTTTGACGTGGAAGCCATAAGCCATTGCAAGAACTGATGCCAGGGGCTGTTCCTCCAAGGGTAGCTCATGGCTTGATGGCGATGCTTCTCTTTCTCCGCCTCGCATAGACTTGGTCACCTGGAGTTAGGAGGAAGAAGTTAGATACCTCGTGGCCTGTGAGCCTTCAGCTTGGGCAATTATATAGCAACTGTGACAACTGCAAAACGGGCTTGAAAGATGAACTCTTTTGTAAGACTATCAATTTATTTAAATTGTTTACCCTCTTTGATCACAGAGTGGTTCTCTTTTCCTGCTTGCATTGGCAGACTTTTTCCTTTCTCCCTAGCTGTTCATTTCATTGTTATGCAAATGATGTTGATGGCAGCATCTGCCTTTAGTAATTTGGCATTTGCCCTAAATTTTCAGGCTTGCTCTGGAACGAATTGCCTACTTCTCGGAGTATTAGCCTCCTAGCACTGCAGAATCTGGCAGCCAAGGCTTACCTTTGTCTCCTTTTTCTCCCTTGTGCCCTCGAGGGCCGGGTGGCCCAGGCCGACCTGATGGTCCTGCGGGGCCCCTCTCACCTGGGAGGACAGAGATAGCTGTGCTCAAATGGGAGCTCAGGGGCTGGAGGGGCCCCACACACAGGTTCCTAGACAGCAGTGGCAAGGAGGTGGCTGCCCGGCAAGAGCCGGTGCTTACACGGGATCCTGGTGACTGTCTCCCTGCCACCACTTACCTTTGGGTCCTGGGATGCCCACCTCTCCTTTCTGCCCAGGGGGCCCTGGAATGGCTCCGTAAGCTGCAGGGGGAGAAGACTGGCCTCAGACAAGGGATCATTGGAACTGGGAGGTAGAGGGGTTTGTTCAGAGAAACACAGGAAGGGAGTGGCAGTCAGGACCCAAAGAAGACAGAGTTCAGAATTTATCAGATTTTTCAGCCTCTCAAGTGTTAATAACCGGAAGTTTTTTTGGGAGTCCGGTTTCTCCCCTGTGAGACCGGGCAGCAAGGTGTCAGGAAAATGATCACAGAGGTGCTCTTACTTCGGAAAAAGTCCATGAGGTCCTCAGTCACGTTGCTGTAGGCAGAGAAGACCTTACTGATGCCAGGGGGGCCCTGGGGCCCTGGCTGGCCTGGGGGGCCCTGGACGGTGTAGGCCATCCCTTGCAGCAGGCCCTGACCTATGTGGGAAGCACCGGAGTGTGGGCACAGGCAGCAGGAGAACAGAGCCCCAGGATTGCCAATTCCCATGCCATTAACCTAGATGAAGTGGCAGCAAGGGAGAAGCCCCGCTGACCACTGACTAGCCCAGGCCTCTGCTGCCACGGCCTGTCATTAGAGGCTTGCTGACGCCAAAGCTGTGCTGATGAGCTACAGGCAGAGAAGACTTCTTAACCAAGGGCCTGCCCTCAGCCCCAGAACCCATGGTTGTCATGAAGACTTCTGAGACACACCACTAGTTAGCTAGGGGAGCAAAGTCCAAGGACCCCAACAAGCCCTGTTCCCTGCAGTATGGGTCCGCCCTGCCTGGCGCTCCTGAACTAAGCTGGTTGTGAGTGGAGTCTGGGCCTCTTGCCTTCAGGCCCTGCCCATCTGATTCTACAAGTGCTGTCCCAGAGCCTGGGCATGCCGAAAATGAGAGGGTGAGTTTCTGGAGCCTATAATTTGAGCTGCTCACGGGCTCCCCCACCTCCAACCTCCCCGCAGCACCGAGGCCCAAGGGTCACGACTCACGCTGCAAACTCTCAGACACCCGAACGGCCAGCTCGTTGTAGTCCAGACCTCCGGCAAAGCCAGCCCCAAGTGGTCCACCTTCACCACCATACATGCCACCTTCTGCTGCTCCCCCATAGCCTCGGCCCAGGCCCATGTCCAGGCCAAAGGCCCCCGCTTCGCCGAGGGAGCCTCCACTGGCTCCTCCTATGCCCATGGAAGAGCTGTAGGAGGAGCCCCGGCTGACGGACGCGCTGTGAGAGGAGGACCTGCTGTCCCGGCTGTAGGAGCCATCCATGGACACTAGGCGGCTGTCCCCAGGCGGCCCCTGTGGCCCTGGAGGCCCTGGTGGGCCCACGATGAAGCTCCGCACATCTGGGCCTGCAGGAAGGAGGCCACATTAGTTGGGGCTTAGGTCTGGGAGTGGAGAGGAAGGGGATTAAGAGGCCTCTCCCAGGGTCTCGAGGCACTCGCGCAGGAGCAGGAGGGCTGGCGAGGAAGAACCGGCTCTCCTGCCTCGTAGGGCTCAGGCATTTGGCCTCCCAGGTTCCTTCCAGCCCCAGCTGCCCTCTTGCAGGGAGGAGCAAGGTCTGGGGAGGGGCACCTACTTGTGAGGTAGCTGATCAGCTCACTCCGGAAGCTGTCGCTGTTTTCCGCTGCGTAGGTTGCCAGAGCTCCTGAGACGCCTGGAGGCCCTCGAGGACCTGGGGGACCAGGAGGGCCTGGGGGGCCAGGGATGGATGACACGCCTGCAGCTGAATGGGAGGCAGAGAACAGTCAGGGATTGCGCCGCTGGGAAAGCAGAATTCCTAGCTGTGTGCAGGGGTGAAACTCCTCTTGAGGAGGAGGGGATCCTGGGGGCCCAGCTCTGGATCACCCTGGAGCCACTGCTTAGACCTGCCATCCCCACTCCCAGTTTGGGGTCTCACTCAGTCCAAAGCATATCCCCTTGTCTGCACCCTCCTGCCACATGACCACACGCTGTTCATGAGTCCTCTAAGGGCTGTACTTGGGAGCACTGTCTCTCCCAACCAGTCTTCCTGTCATGGCTGAAAGCACCTCAAAAGCAAAGGTGTTCCTTGTCTGTGCTTCAGGAGGACTGGGTGACTGGTCCAATAGTTTAACTCTCCATGGCTGCCCTCCCTGCGCCTTACTGTGCAGGTAAGAAGAGAGGTCTTCCACGCTGATGCTGGACCACGCGTTGCCTGGGATCCCTGGGGGCCCAGGGGGACCTGGGGGCCCAATGATGCCTCTGTATTCAGACCCTGAGACACCAAAGAAGGGCACAGAGTCAGAGGGGGGTCTGGGCCAGGGGACGTCTGCCTCTTACCACAAGCTCCTGACCAGCCTTACCCTGGAGCAAGGAGAGGAGCTCCTCATAGGATGTTCCTGGGAGGCCAGGGGGTCCTGGGGGGCCAGGCAGCCCAATGCTGATTCCAGAACCTGAGGAACAAAACCCCAGGTTGTGATAGATTCAGATTGCACATGTGTATGCGAATTGTGTGTGAACCCCATAGAGGACAGTGCCCCAGACGCTCCTGGCTTCCCCAGCCAGGCTCGGGGACCTGCTCCGAGCCACAGATGTGAAGGGCTCTGAAAGCAGCGCGCTCCCTCTGGGGCCACGTGGCGGGGAGCATCAGGGGCCAGTGCAGGGAAGTTCAGCACCCACACCCTCTGGGGCCCTGCTGACCATCTGCCTGCAGTGGGCAGGCCAGGAGGGCGGACACTCACTGGACATGTAGCTGAGAATGCGACTGCTCAGCTCGGCGTAGTCCAAAGACTGGAGAGACCAATCTCCAATCACATACTGACGCAGATACTGCCTCACGTCATCTCCTGCAAGGACAGGAAGCGCTGGCGTGGGCCCACCCAGGCCACAGGGCTCCCGGGCCACCACGCAGCCACAGCCAGGTCTGCCCCTGAGTTCCGGGTTCTCTGTCCACAGGGGGAGTCAGCAAGCTTCCAGGTACCCGACCAGGCACTAGCCCAGTTCCTGGCGCTAGGGACGGGAGATGTGCTGGAGATTCCAGCCGGTAGGGACTCACTAGCCACTGGGAACGAGGACGAGGGCCTCCTCACTAGCCCTCAGCAGCTCGGGTAGGGGCAGGCCGAGCCCCCAGGGCTCCCACCCGCCGGCCCACCGTAGGTACTCACGCTGCAGCGCAGCCACAATGTCCTCAGTAGAGATGGAGACGGAGGAGCCAATGCTGTACCCTGAGGCTGTCGGGAAAGAACCTCGAGTTACCTGCTTAGCAAGACTAAGGCAGCAACACCCTCACTGCTGCAGAACCACCAGGACCTGGCCGGCTAGCTGCTCCATTTGTGGAAATGAATGAACAGGGCATTGGGAGGCTGTTGTGAACGCATGAAAAAAACTCGAAGGTGGTTTTGTTTTTGCATTTGTTTGGTAAGACACGCCGTTTTCCAGAGTATGCTTTAGCCTAACTCTTGCTAAGATCCTGCCCACCTTGTTGCCTTTCCACATCTTAGGACACATCTGTCAAGCGCAAGAAGGCTCATTACTCGTGGCTCTGCGGTATGGCCTCTTCCTAATCTGAGCAACCCCTTCTTGAAGCTAATCCCAGTGGCCTGACAGCCATGAATTCAGACCTGAACTTCACATCCAGAAGGGTAAAGTGAACAGCAACGTTAAGTGAGGAAGCCTGCAAAGTGGCCATGGGAGGAAGGGGTCATGACAGGGGTGGGGGGAGGCTTACTCTGTAAGTAGCTGCTGACGCGGCTTGCCAGCTCTGAGTAGTCGAAAGTCTCCCCCGCAATGGTGGTGACAGGCCCCGGGGGACCAGGGGGGCCTGGGGGACCCTGAACTCCAGAGAGGTAAGACCTAATACTGTCACCTGCCAACAAAGAAGGCAAAGTCAAGCCCGTCCCCGAGAGGGCATGTCCTCCCCACAGAGATGACCTGCAGCACTTGATGAGATGCCTTCCCCACCACAGTCATGGGCCAAGGCAGGGCCAGCAGGGAGCCCAGACTCCTGGTTGCAGATAGAGAAACTGAGGACCAGCCTGTGTGGTAGCCGTGAGAAGGTGGGTGTTAGGGGAGTGCATGGACATGCAGTCCTGGCTCCAGGGTTAGATTTCTGACCTAGGCCTGGGCCTATAGACTGCTACCCCCTGCCACACACACACACACCCCTCTGGCCCCACTCACACCTCCGGCTCCCACCCACTCCCAGAGCCTCCCCCACCTCCCCGCACTGGTACAAGAATGGGATCTGTCATGTTTATTTACATAAGGAGGAGGGGACTGGAGGCTTCCTGAAATAGCCGAGCTCCAGAAAGCACTGGAGATGCTCCAGCAGTGAGCGCGCGCACACACACACACACACACACACACACACACTCGGGCCCCAGGCACTCACTCTGCAGGTACTCAGAGATGTACTGCTGGATCTCCCGGCCAGAGCTGCTAATGGAGCCCGGAGGCCCTGGTGGGCCTGGAGGGCCCGGTGGACCTGGCATGAACATGGTGCTCGACGATGACCCCCCTGCAGGAAGGAAAGCTTTCTAAGTCTGACACCCTAGGGTCAAAGAAGGGCCCAGAGACTGCTTCCACAGCCTGAGGAGGGAAGGTCGTTCTTAGTGGAAGAAATAAGATAGTGGCAAAGAGGAGGGTCTCTCCATAAAGGGAAGAAGGGAGTGAGTGCTTGTAGCGAGCACTGTCCGAAAGGGGCACAGAGTCGAGCCTGCCCAGGCCAGACCCTCCCTTCAGCAATCTGCTCAGCACCCCAGAGGCTCCCTCACCTCTGAACACCTGGCTCCCAGGTCTGTTCTGTGTCATCTGGCATCGTTAGCCACCTGTACTGTACAGAGTCCTTCCCTCGCACCCCTACCAACTTAAAGACAGCGCACAGGCTTAGCACATCACTGAACCGTGGGTAGGTGGGTGGGTGGGTTGATGAATGAATCGGAATCCTTGCTTGAGTTAGGGGAGAACTTTGTCACCTTTGGCTCTTACCTTGAGAGAGTCTGCCAGGCATGCCAGGGACCCCAGGATCACCTGGAATCCAAAACCAGAAGCCCTGTTTGCATCACCTCCTCCAGGAACCCTTCCCTGGTTAGGCCCAACCACGTTCATCAGCATGTGACTCAACAGCTACCCCACGTGTCTCAGTTTCTGCGGTGCTACGGCAGCTCCCTTCAGGTAGAGGCTGTGCTCACGTCCTCATCCCACTTGCCCTCCAGCCTCTCCTTCCTCCTAAGCCTTTAGCACCAGTAGGTACCCACTAGCTTCCGTTCAGACTCTGGGAGCCATTCTTGCCTTCATGCCTCACTGCCTTCCTGGCTGCTCCCCTCACTGACCTTTGTCACCCTTGGGTCCCCGGGGGCCAGGTGGTCCTTGCAGGTTGAGTCCAAGAGAACTGGAGCCTGGTAGGCAACAACACACGGTGCAGTCAGCCAGGGCTGAGGGGCTCTGGCCAGAGTCATCAACGGGCCGGGGGCTTAGCACTCACCGGAGCCTGAGAATCCTGGGGGGCCTTGCTCGCCTGGGGACACACCAAGAGAGGTCAGTCAGTGGTGCGCTCCTCCTCCCCAGGCCCAGCCCTGACCCCACCTTCCCTCCTCCCAAAAGGCTCTCCAACACTCATGATGCTGAGGCTGCACTCCCTTTGGGCAGTGCCTAGAGCTGCCACAGGCCCATGCGCGCAAACACACACACACTCCCGACCATTCACAGACACCCACCCTGATCTACCTGCACTCATTTGGACAAAACTCATTTACAGGAAGCTCAAGGCTCTCGGAAGGTCAGCTTTTGCCACCTCCCACCCCCACTGCCACCTCACATCTTGTTTGGTGCCAGCTTTACTGTACCTTGGTGTCCTCGAGGGCCTGGGGGGCCTGAGGGAAGGAGGCAGACAGTCGTGAGATGCATGCCCACCAGGTGCTATGGCTTCAAGGGGCCCGTAGGGGAAGGGACAGGGCCCCTGTGCTGGAGCAGACACAGGGCCCGAGGTTCCTCACACCTTTCCTCCCCGCAGGCCAGTGCAGAGGTGGTGATGTGTTGTGGAGCTTCTAGCCACCATGCCCCCCACCCCACGTTCCAGACTGCTGAGCTCCTGGTGGGATGTGGCAGGAGGATGCACAAATGCCCCAGTGTATCCAGCCCCATCCGACTCTCCTGGCCACCTTGAGCAAGGAGGCTTCTGCGTCCCAAGACGCAACTCACCTTGGTCTCCCTTGGGGCCTGGGGGGCCAGGGGGCCCTGGGGGGCCGGAGAAGTAGGTCTCTGCAGAGGAAAAAGAGTTCTAAGTGTGGGCACAGAGGTATTGTGAGAGAGGAGCACCTACCATGGAGCCTGGCACACAGCAGATGCTCAATCCACACCTTTCAGACAGGTGGGTGGGTGGGTGGATGGATGGATGGATGGATGGATGGATGGATGGATAGATAGATAGAAAAATAAGTGAAAGAAAAAACTAACAAATGGATGGATGGACAAATAGATGGGTGGGTACATTTTCCATGAGGGATAAGTTCTAGGCTAATATTTGCTCTAAAGTTATTTCCATGTGTTTCCGTGTTGTTCTGTCAACATTTATCTCCTTTCAATGTGTATCCTGCCTACTTATCAGACTTGGGCTTCCCAAGGACAGAAACCAGGTCCCCAGTCACAAATGAGTCTGTCCAGAAGCTCCCCAAGGTCAGAACTCGCTCCCTCCCTCTGACCAGCTTAGCTGCGGGGGAGGGGCGGGGGGCTGGTATGGCTTCCTGTTCTCCCTGCAGAACTGCCGTTCTGCAGAGTTCATGCAAACACACCCTGGTGGCAGGTCTGAGGAGGAAGCATGACGAGCGGGTCAGGAAGGCCACATGCTTGTGACCACAGCAGGTCCAGGGACTGGGGCTGAGGTGGACAACAGGTGGGACTTGACTCTGTAACATTACCTGAGTTGCTCAGCAAAGATCCCGGAGGGCCTGGCGGGCCCGGCCGGCCTTCTCCTAGAAAAAGAACCACCAAGACTTTGTAAAGCCAGGCTACGGGCCAAGAACCCTGTGCTGGGGAGAAGTGGCAGGTAAGCTCTTCCCGAGAGCCAGGCACAGGCTCTGGGTGCCAATGCTCTCGTATCTCTTGCTGGGGAGCTTGGCCTTCACCTGTGGGGCCTCAGGGTCGTGGTGGACCCGAAATGGAAGGTCTTGCAGAAGAGAGCAAGCAAGAGGCAACGCTGAACTCAGGGAGCGGATCTCGGCTTCCTCACAATCCCCCACCTTCCAATGATCCCTGAGATGCTTACCTGGAGGCCCTGGTGGTCCAGGTGGGCCTGGGGGACCCCGTAAATCAACACCTTCTGTGGAGAGAAAAAAACAGAAATGAGTAAAAACTCACATCAGGCTGTTCTCTGCCAGCCTCAGCTGTCACGAGGATCCTCAGGGCCAGGCACCCCAGGGCTACACTCACACCTCAGAGGCCAGCTCTGCTAGGGCGCTCCTCACTCACAAGTGGGGCAGGGCAGGGCTGCAGACACACTCCCCGGTAGCTGATGTGGGCACACGGGGGCGGGGGGACGGTGCGTGGCTAAGTACATGGTGTTGGTGTCAGATAGCCTGCGTTCAAAATCCTGCTCTGCTTCCAGCTGCTGACTTTGGGCAAGTCCTTGATCCCTTTCGGCCTTGCTTGCTGTTCTCTAAACCAGAGGCCTAAAACCCACGTCACAGCACATTGTGCAGACCCAGGGAAGTACTGCGACACACGTCTAGCACACAGTGACGGCCGGACAAAGCTGGCTATGGTCTTTGCTACTCGGGCCTCTAAGAAGGAGGCCCGGTGGCAGGTCTGCATGGGTTCTTTAAAGGACCCTGGGAACAGAAGAACCCAGAACTCACCCTGCAGGTGGGGTCTGTGGCTGAGAACCCATAGACCCTTGTCACTGTACCAAGTGGGGGATGCAGTACTCCTGCCAGCCATCATCCAAGTGCCCAGCTCACTGCAGAGGCCCCACTGGACCCTGGTCCCCCTAGAATCCCGAGAACCTCTGACAGCTGCCCCATCCAGTGACTCATCCCCCAGAGCTGACAAAAGCCCTGCTGTTCCTTCCAGGCTAGCATTGCCTTTCAGAGGAACTCGTCATCCTCATTCACACTGGAGCTCAGGGTGACGCACTGGTACAGCTGCTACAGGCCCCGTCCGTCCTGCTCCCACCCTGGTGTCCCCTCACCCCAGACAACACAGGGGCACTCACGGGTAGAGAGGAGCTCAGAGATGGAGCTGCTGCTGCCCATGAACGATTCACCAGCAAGTCCTCGCTCGCCGCGTGGGCCTGTGTAAAAGACACAGTTCAGGTGGGCATGGCCTGCAGTGACCCCTCCCAGCTTTCTGTCTAGAGGGCCTGGAGCCCTGCAGGTGCGCGGATGGGGCCAGAGAGTTGCCGGTGAACCTTCCTGTTTGTTGTTCCAACAGCCCAAGAGAAAATGGACCAACTTTTCCTAAGCCTGTTTTTTGGTGTTTGGATAGATGGCTGGACAGTGGCACAAGTATCAGGGACTGGTTACAAGAGGGTCTGACACCTATGAAATAGCCAAGCCTGACCCTGACCAGGGGACCACACAGCCTCGGTCCCCTGTCCAAGCGCCTCTACCTTCTCAGAAACACAAGAGGGAGGAGAGGTGTCTCCCCTGGCATTTGAAGCCCTTCAAGGCCCTGGGGGAAGCACCAGGTCACCCCCTCATCTCCCTTCCCCAAATTCAGGCCTGCCACTTCACCTAAAGATGGGGTTCCAAGTCCAGCCCGGGAAGGAGGCTTTCCCCGCTGAGCCCACAGTCACACGTTCCCTCAGGACTGACATACCTTGCTGTCCAGGGAGACCAGCTGGGCCCACAGGACCTGGAGATGGAGTCGGGAAGAAAAGGCTTTACTATACCTCTAGGGTCATAGTTCTAGAAAGATCTGAAGAAAGGGCAGGGCAGGTGCCCCAGGGACACAGGTAGCTTCCTCCCAGGTGCAGAACAGTGGCCCAAAAAGGTGAGCTTGTTGACTGATTGGAGACCAGCCCTGTGACCCATCCCGTTAGAGCTCCTCTGCCCAACTCCAGGGCTTGGGGCAGGCTTGGGGCTACTGCCCCCCAGGTGGGGACTTCTCAGCACCCTCCAATCCTCCCTCACTGGAGCCGGTCAGGACAGAAGGCTGATCCATACCCGTGTGGGTTGCATTAAATCACCTACTTCATTTACATGTAAAATTTTTTAAATTGAAAAATAGATAGGCGCGCCTGGCTGGCTCAGTCAGAAGAGCATGAGACTCTGGATCTTGGGGTCATGAGTTCCAGCCCCATGTTGGGTGTAGTGATTATTTAATAAAAAAAAAATAGATATAAAATCACAGGTATTTTGGAAAAGTAGAAAAAGTATCACCTATATTCCTTTAACCTGTAAGGATTTCATTTCCTTACAGCATGTTTTGTTTTTTTTTTTTCTCATCTTGTAAAACTACAGTCGCAGCCTCAGAGGGCATAGGGCTCTAGCAACCTGCGCTTCTAAATGACGGCTCAAAGTCGGTGTGATTTTGTAGCGATCTCATTGCAGTTTGAACAATGTGGAGATGGTTTCTCCAAATAGATTCCTACCATTTTTGTTGCCCTTAATGCATTTTATTAAGTTGTTTTCCAAAAAGCAACAAACTGAAGTCACACACAGGCTGCAGAGGTGGCAGGATCGGGGCCAAAGTCTGCCTCTGCTAGTTCTTAGCTGAGTGACCACAAGGCTGCTGCGGGGGTGGGGGGAAGCAATGCCTGCCGGGTGCTTGGGGGCTTGGGGTGCCTGCTGCGGGGAGACAGGCGCTCACTAGGCTGGGCCGGAGCGGGCTCCTCCCTGGGGCTCAGGACCTGAGCAAACACTGCTGTACTGAAATGCAACCAAGGAGTAAAGCAAGAAAACAACTGACCTGGGGCACCTGGAGGTCCTGGCGGTCCCATGGCTCCAGGAGGCCCGGGGGGGCCTGGGACAGTGATCGTCGATGATCCCTCTAAAAACAGAAGGCTTGTGACCCAGGACCCTTCTTGCTGAGAGGCACCAGGACCCAGGCCAGGCTGCCGGCGGGGCAGGCTGGTGCCTCCTGCCCCCACATCCGCCCCTGGCCCTCCTCCCCTGCTGCCAGAAGCTCAGACTGGCACTGCCTGAGGGTGCCAAGGCACAGCCGGGGCAGATGTCCAGGACACAAGAGAGACCGAGGAGGGCCACCCTCCTGGGCCTGCCTACCTGATGTCATGATCCTGCCTGGAGCTCCAGGTTCACCTGGAGGGGAGGAGAAGGAGAACAGTTATTCCCAGGGTTGCTTAGCGGCTCCATAAGTCGTTTCCAAGTCTTCTGACTGAGTTTGCAAGGCACTCCTGTGCCTCCAACCCCTGGGCCAAAGGCGTTTTAATGAACCACGGGGAGCATGTAGGATGCATGAAGCACCAATCTCTGCCGGAGACCCTGAGGCCACAACGAGCTTCCTGGCCCACATTAGTCCTTGGAAGCAGCTGGGACTCAGCGAGAGAGGAGAGAGGACGTGGGAGGGTCTCCCTTCCCGCCAGGCCAGAAGGAGGCTGACTGAGAGTCATCCCCACTCCCACGCTGGGCCTCTTAGGCTCTTGCTGGGAACTGCCTCAGATGGAAGAGCCCCAAGAGGACAGAGGACAGAGGCCTGAGCCTGGGGGGTAGAACCTGGTCCCCAGAATGCCCCTCAGGACACAGATTCCTGGGATGGAAGTCGGGGTGTGCAAGAGGAGAAAGGGGAGCTGTGGCTGCTAAGTAGGGGAGCACCGGAGTCACCCAGAGGTTGGCAGATTTCCTTCCTGCTTGTGTCTGAGAGGGTCCAAAATGCAAACATGGGCAGAGGGCTTCCAACAAGGGGATTCGGATTCATGCTTTCCCAAACTTATGGACCCTGGACACTGCGCCCATGAAGCATCTCTCGAGCCTGGAAATGCACGGACCCCAGGGAACTGAGCAAGCAGGGTGGAGGAAAGAAGAACCCGCCCCTGGGGTCCCTCAGGGGCCTCTTCTGTCATTTCCCAGGGTCTGTGGGCAAGCCACACCACACCGTGATGGAGACGATGATCCCCCTTGGAGGAAGTAGAGGGTGGTCTCTGCTTGCTATCCGCCAGTCCCTGGGGTCAAGGTCAAGAGGAGAAAGCACTGGTGTTTGTTTTGTTGGAACACCACCCAGCGTTAGGGGAGACATCTGCCTCCCGTGCACACTGTCCAGAGGGGGCTTTGAAATCCCTCTGGGATAGCAAGTCACAGACCCTTGAGAAGGACAGGCTATCTGGGATCCTCAGGGAGTCCTTCTTACAGTGCTCTATCAATCCATGAACGGATCCATGGCTCCAGAGGTTTGTCTGCCAGGATGTAGGAACTCAGCTGTTATTATGTTGGAATTATATTGACTTGTCCCAAAAGAACTCCCTGGCCCAACCAGTCATTGGAGATAGTTTCTGGAAAGTAGTAATTTCATTCCTAGAGTCTCCTCCAGAGAATTGTGACTGCTCAGGATGGCACAGCACCATGGAATGTCAGGATTTGGGAACAGAGTCACAGGGACAGAAGCCAAAGACTCTCGCTGAGCACTGTCCGACCCTGGACTGGCTCAGGGTTGGTATCCAGGGGGTGCAGAATTGGACAATAGTGGAGGAGCAGAGCAGGACAGCAGGGGTACCACACGGGCCCCGGGCAGAGCCCTGCAGAGGATTCCTCTCCTAGAACTCATCTGAGGTGCTCCTCCCTGACTGCGGAAAAGTCTCAGCTAGAAAACTCTGTGGGGTGCCCGGGCACACTGAGGGCTGCGGGAATGAGAAAGTTGAGGGTGGTCCTGTCCCAGGGAAGGGTCACCTGATGGAGGACCAGGGCTAAGCCAGGGAGACGGAGCATGAACAGGGATATTTTAGAGGCAAGCCAGGAGACGGAGAGGCTCTGAGAGGGAGCACGTTTCCCGATCCTCCTTCAGCGGTGGCCTGGAGACATCTGGTGTACAGTGAGGCGCAGGACTGGGGGGCAGGGGGGGGCTTGAGGATTCAGGGCTCAATGGGTCAGAACAAATCCCTGGCTCCCCAGCCTCACAGCCTTCTGCTGATGCCACTAGATGCCACTGTTGATCCAGACTCTGGCCAGAGAGGGGCTCCCTCCTGCCCGGCTCTCCCCTCCTGCAAAAGCTAGTAAAAAGAAGGAACATCTGATTTGGAAAATCACTTGCCTTTAGCTCCTGGTTGGCCAGGGGTACCAGGAAGTCCTAATGGGATTAAAAACAAGTCAGTCGGAATGATTAAAGCCCAGCAATCCCAGACCCCTCTGGCAGGAACCCTGCTCCCTCACTGGGCACAGTCCCCAGTGCCCACTGAAACTGCAGACCCCGGGCTGTACCTTCTGCTGTAGCCTGGGGGCCCCTCGGAGGCCTCTCACTGAGCCCTTCTCCCTCTCTGGGAAATGGGGCAACCACCAGGCTTGAGGGAAGCAGAGGCCTGTGGACTCGGCTTTGGAGGATGCCAGCCAGCCTGAGTGATGAGCCGCTCTGGTCCCCACCCTCCCCATCAGGGTAGGCGAGTAGGGGCCACGGCTTCTTCCCGTCTTGCTTTTGTCTGCTAAGCTCTGGCAGGGAGCATTTGAAGGCAGACCCTGTGCACTCAACTTTGCAGGGAGACCTGCTGCTTGATCTCATTTTGCATCTTTCCCTAAATTTCCTTTAGGAGCTGGGGCTGGGCATGGTGACAACTTCTTAAATCCAAATGGGTAAACCCCAGTGCCACTGTAGGGCCAACTCGGCCACTGAAGCTGTCCCAGGATGATTGGGCCCTTGCACAGAGTAAGCCCCTTTCCTACCCTGCCAGGGGGACATGAGGCCTCTGGGGGCCAGGGCAACTCCTGTGCCTGGAGCTTCCTCTCGGGGTTCCTGTACCCCAAGGCATATAGAATCAGCATACGATTTAACCATGTTTCTCCAGAATGGCTTTCTAGATTGTTTTGTATTTTTCCTTCCTTAGGGGTTTCTTAACACTCACAGGGAAAGAACCTGAACCAGTTTTTGCGTGGGTGGGGCGGTGGGGAGGGTGGCGCATACAGGGAGCAGGGGAAACTCAAGGGGACTGGAGAGGCATTTCCTACAAGCTGGAAGCGGGAGACCAGGCAGGGGGATCTGGAGGCGGAGGGACCTGGTGACTCACCCTGAGGTCCTTGTGGTCCTGTGAGACCTACGGGAAGGAGAACAGAGAGAGGTGAGGGGTGGAGGGGCCATGCCCTGAGCCGCAGGAGGGCAACTCCAGGGCCCTCCCTGGACAGGACGAAGAGCAGTTCTTTGCACTTCGCAGTGACAGGACCATGACTGTCAGGCCGAGGTTCCTGGCCTGACCCGGATCACACCCTTCGGCGTCTGAGAGCCAGGAACCCAGCGAGCTCCTCCACTCATGGACCCCAGCGCTGCCCCCACCCCCAAGGCTCCCTCCCTGTCTGGGCACCCGCCAGAGGAGGCTACCCTGTTCCAGGCAGGCCCCTCAATAAATGCGGCCCTGCCCCTGCAGCTGCCTTGGCTCGCTGCCCTCTGCCCTCCTGGAGCCCTGCGGATCTTGCTCCTGTTGCACCTTGAGTGGGAACCCTAAAAACGGCCTCTCCTCTCAGACTGGCAGGTATCTGGTGAGGGTCCTGGGATGGCCAGAGGGGAAACAGACAGACAGACGGACGGAGGGGATGGGATCAGAGGAACAAGGCATGGAAATTGCCTTAAGCTCTGCAACTATTTTTTAAAAAGATTTTATTTATTTATTCATGAGAGACACACAGAGGCAGAGACACAGGAGAAGCAGGTTCCCTTCAGGGAGCCTGATGTGGGACTCAATCCAGGACCCTGGAATCACGACCTGGGCCAAAGGCAGACAGACGCTCAGCCATTGAGCCACCCAGGTGTCCCAAACTCTGCAACTGTTAAGAGATTCCTTGCTCCTTTCTAGAAGTCCTTGTTAATTAACTGTCAATCTCTCTCTTCCAAATTGCCAGAGTTGGTGACTGAACGGTGTCAGAACCTACAGTCACTGTACACAGCACAAGCCAGCTGTCACCTGGCAGCAGGTGAGAAGGCATGTGCATTCACCTGCATGCATCCTCCTTGCATGCACACGCGCGCACGCGCGCACACACACACACACACACACACACACACACGCACGGCTGTGGCTCCCTCTTCCCACTCTGTTACCTGGCTTTCCTGGGTCTCCAGAAGGCCCTTGTGGGCCACGGGTTCCAGGCATCCCTGTTAGACCTTGTTCACCTAGAGAGAGCATGACCCACATGGAAAGGTTTTCCTGTTAGGAAAGCTGAACCAGCCAGCACATCTGAGCCTATGGTTTCTTGAGATTTTACTGAGTAACTTGCTGGCAGGTGCAAAGGAGAGGGAAATAAGACCTGGGCCTCCCGGGGTTCCACATGGTGCATGCCCTGCTGGCGTGATGATTCAGAGGACTGGGCCCTGCCTGCTGGGACGTGGGCAGGGCAGGGCTGGGCTGGGCAGGGCTGGGCTGGGCAGGGCAGGGCAGGGCAGTGAGAGTGAGGAGAGGATGGCAGGGACGCACCTCTTGGGCCTTGGTGTCCATCAGGGCCAGCAGGTCCTAGGAAAGCAGAACCACAGCTCCTCAGTTATCCCAGCAGCTATTTCTGGGATGCCCTGCAGCTTCTCCAGGCTGCCTCCCAGATGGGAGCTGTGCGGCCCCTCCCAGAGCCACCAACCATGGAAGAAGCCCTGTCTTTGTGATCCCCTCTGGATGCCACTTTCTCCCTGGCCTCTTCCCCTAAACCAGGAATGTGTGTTTTCCTGCAGAGAACGAACAGGCCGGCAACTCCCCATTGCATCCCCAGGGCCTACGGGGCGACTCCGCACACACCAGAAGCTCCATCTGTGTTTGTCTTGTTGAGTCAGGGTCCTTCAGGCTCTCATCTCCTCTGCTCTGGGCATTTTGCTAACCTAAGTCCAAGGTGGTGTCCTTCTGGGACCACGTCTCACTCCCCCACCCCTTTTTCTTTCCTCCCTCATGTTGTCTCTGCATGAAATGTTCTAAACTGACTATGATGAAATCATCCTTACTTTCTAAGGCCATATGAAATGCACCCTCCTTCATCCTTCTAGTGGGAAGGAATCTCTCCCTGCTGTGTCTCTGTGGCACACTTTATCTCCCCTTGCAGGAGGTAAAGCATCTTACTTGGCGCACACGGCGTCCTGTATACATTTGGGGCTTCCTCACTCTGTTAAACGAATGAGAAAGTGAACATACCACAACCCCATTGGTGGAACTTAAACCCTTTTAGGGACTTGGTGCTAAATGCTTGACACTTGGAGGGTCCATGGTAAGCTTCCACGTCCTGGTTGACAGACACCTTGCTAAGAGCAGCAAAATTGCCAACCCCTGGATGTGGCTATGACAGCAGCTCTGGAGTACCAGGGCTGGGCCTGGAATACTGGGGGTTCCAAAGGACCTCCATACTTATCTATCCTCCCCAGGGGCCCAAGTGACTCAGAGGCAGGGACTGGTATGGATGCGCCACCAACCCCCCAGCAGTGAGAGACCCAGAGACGACTGCCAGACCCAGAAACGGCCTGTAGACAGACCCTCAGCCGGAGGCCCGCAGATTGGAGGGCAGGAGAGGCAGCTCCAGACGCAGGCTCTCGGCTCTCCCGCCAGGACCACCCACCGCATCCATTCCTTTGGGACACTCACCTACTGCTCCTTTAGCTCCCGGCTCGCCCACAGCACCAGGCAAGCCTCTCAAGCCCGGCTCACCTGCAAAGGAAACAGGCTAGCTGACTGGAGGCTTCCAAGACACGCGTGCCTCATGCCTATTAGGACGCCCCTCCCTCCCGCCACCCCCAACCTGCCACCTGCCCAACCGAGGAGCCTGATGACAAACAGAGGTCAGGACACAGCCTTTGCTTAGCATCTATGGTCACGGTCTCTGGCGAGGGCAGGCCCAGAGCCACGTCAGGGCTCAGTCTTCCTTCTTGGCACCACAGAGCTGCCCCTTCGAGCCAAAGCACTGATCCCCTCTGGATGCCATTTTCCTTTTTTAGTCGCTCAAGTTGGCAGGAGGTTAAGTGGACGAGAGGCTTACCACTAGTGCCAAAGCTCTGCTACTTTGGGAAGAGCTTAGTTTTTCCCAACTGGATTCCCCCAAAATAATCCAAGACAATCAGACACTCCCTTTTCTGTTCCAAACATTTACCGTCTGGACTATACATATGTTTTGATGCTGGCTTATACGCCATTCACTCTTATTTTATCTTGTAGTGGGTTTTTTTTTTTTTCTAGATTACAAGTTTTTGGGTGGTTTTTAGACAGATTCTGTCTCACATTTCTGTATTTCTCTCCACCTCCAGGGCCTAGTGGATTTACGCAAAGTCTAATGGATCGCCACGGACGCCTGTGTAGGACTGACCTGTGAGGCCTCGGGGTCCTTTCTCACCCTGGTCACCTGAAACGAACATGAGGCAGGATGGAGTGGCAGGAAGCGCCAGTCCAGGAGCCAGGAAAACTCTCACTCAGTGAGAGAGACCCCTGGCTGTGAACACTTCTCACTGTGCCCGCAAGCTGTGGTCCGCAGGATGTTGGCAGGAACTGGACGCTGGAGGAGCTGAGGAGCACGCGTGCTCCCCCCACCCGGGTCAAGGCCCACCCGCAAACTGACCCCAGCCCCTGCTGTCACTTAAGTGGGTGCCATGGGTGCAAGGAGAACCAGACTAGAGGGTGCGTGTCTCAACACTGTGTCCTGGCCACACTGTGAACCACCCGGCTCTAGGGCTGTGACATAGCCCTGTTTCCCCTCTTCCTGTCTTAATTTCCCTAGCTGAGGGGCTGGGCTAGAATGAGCTCTCAGATATACCCCAGACTCTGAGGCAGGAGTCCTATTGGGGTTCCTCAGAGTCAGGCAACAATGGGGATGTCTGAGCAGCAGCAACGTACCTTTGGGTCCTGGTGACCCCAGAGGTCCTTTGTCACCTGGAAAGGTAATGGACAACTCTGTGTAAAGAGCCCTGGCAAGGAGGACACCCAGGGGAGGACAGCGTGTGTGTAGACAGGCTCTCCCACCATCCTGACCTGCCCTCTGCTCACATACCTGTCAACCTGCAAAGGCTATTGGTCACGTGCACCAGACCCTCCCTGTCCACAGACCCCCTCCTTCAGTGACTGGTATCTATAGGGTAACCTCTCCTTCCTCCCAAACCCTCTCCCAAGCTTACCTTTGATACCAGGGAGTCCAACTTCACCTCGGAGCCCTTGTGGACCCATAGGGCCTGCAAACAAAGGAAGCCATGCAGAGAGCTGAGTGTCTCGTGCTCTGAGGTTGATGGACAAGAACACGGGGCACGGACTGGCATGCACACAGGTGTGCACACACCCTGAGGTAACAAGGGCTGTTCTCCACAGACTCCTCCCCATGTCCCTGCTACATCGTCCCGGGCCAGCTTCTGGCTCATGTTACCAGGCCTGGGTATGAGGACACCCTGTGGGACCCAGGCAGACATGGTGGGCTACAGCTCGGGATTCCCACAACAGCAGAAGGGCTCTGGCCCACTAGGAGGGGGTGGTGGCAGGAACTCTGCTCAGGTGCAGCAGGATGGGGATCTGGGAACCACTGGGTACCCAGTGGATGGAAGTTTTGGGTCTCTGGAAGCCTCACTTTATAGGTTTTTTTTTTTCCCTTTAGCATCCCTGTCTTTTCCCCAGAAACAGCACCTGCCACAGCATACTGACCTGGGGGACCCCGTGGGCCTGGAGAACCGCCGGAACCTGAGAAGGAAGACAAGACAGCTGCTATCAGGGGCAGGGCACAGGCCAGGGATGTCCGAGCCTGTGGTGAAGGGCAGGTGGGGGCTCACTCCCAGGGGACCCCAAGCCAGTGGGTCAGAGAGTGACCCCAGTGCAAAGTTCTCCTGAGGGAGGCAGCTGCAGGTGTGGAATCCAGAGACCCCTGCTCCTTGGCAGTCAGAGGCAAACATCTGGGCCTGAGCAGCAGCAGGGAGGAGAGTTGGCCAGACGGGTGCCAGACAGGCCCCCTTTACCCTGAGTTGTCCAGACATGTTGCTTTTGAGCGAGTGCTTCTGGGCACCAGTCAGGTGAGGTAGTTGTCTGGCTTCAGACTTTCAGACCCATCCACTGGCTCAGGGGCCACGTAACAGGGCCACTGAAGAGCGATGGAAACATGGTCCCAAATCTACCATGAAGCCAAAAATACAGCCCCAGTGCTGACTCCCAGGGACTCCTTGGTGTGTGTGTGTGGGAACGCTCTCTGGGCCCACTGTCCCTGCACAGGCCTGGGGCAATAGGTCAGCGCTGCTGGGATCTCAGCACCTGGCCCTCTGTGACCCATCCTGGTCACGGATGTGGCAAATCTGGTTACTGTCCTGACACCTGACTCACCTTTGGGACCCACAGATCCTGGGACGCCAGGTGGGCCCTGAACACCAGGTTCACCAGCAGCCCCTGGGGAGACATGAGAGGGCCCTCAGTTTGGTTTCCAGCAGGCTGGGCAGTGTCATTTTGGGAGACACTCCCCAACCTGCTGGTGGTCTCTGATCCATTTGATCCTCCTTGAGGCCACGAATCTGCAAAACACCTTCAGTTTCTACCCACAGAGCCTTTCTATTCCATGAGGTGGCACCCAGTCAGTACTCAATATTTGTTGCCTGGTTGACCAATATTTTTAAAGGAAAGTGAAGCTAAAAACAAAGCTTCTTGCCCATGATCTTTTGGCACTGCAAGCACTTCTGGTGTCTGTGCTTGGCTCCCCCTGATAAAAGCAGACTCATGGTTAAGAATCTAGTTGTAGAGTCTTCCCTGCCTCTGCCAGGGCTGGGCCTGTGTCTTCTCCCCTGCCTCCTTCCAGCCATGAGAGGCTCAGGACCTACACTCTGCTCTGCCCTCAGCCCTGCTCTGCCCTGAGCTCATCACCTCAGCCTGACTCTGCGCTGCCCACCAGGGAAGACCCGCTCTCCCTGTGACCATGTTCTTTGTCGATTCCAAGCACTGCAGGGTTCTTAGCTTCAGACCTGAGCCCACAGCCCAGCCCACAGCCCCTCATTAGAGCAGGCCTGAGGTAGATGGTCAGCAAAGGTGAGCGAAAGGAAGGAGGAAGAAAGACCTTAAGAAGGAAGCATGGATGCGGCTCACACTCCCGGTGAAGGACAAGCCTCTTACCTCTGTCCCCTTTCTCTCCAAATCCAGGAGGCCCTGGTTCACCACGAAGTCCCATGGGGCCTTCTCGCCCTCTCTGGCCCATGGGTCCCTCCATGCCGGGTTCTCCTAAAGAAAGGAACAGGCATCTCAGGGTTAGGACCCGATTCCAAGGCTGAGGGCTCCATCGGCAGCATCCGGCTGACACATCTCCTGCCTGGAGCCCCCACGCTGGTCTCCCGGCTTCTCCCTCCCCCTATAGCCCAGGTTCAACCCAGACGCTAGAGTGACCCTTAGAAAATGCAAGTGGATCACACCCTACTTCTGCCCCAAATCTGTGAATGGCTTCTTCACGCACTGGGAGTGAAAGCTGAAGTGTTACCACAGCCTCCAAGGCCCCACAGGATCAAGAGGCCTACTCTCCTCCACCCGGTCTTCTGGAGCTCCAGCCAGGCCTCCCCTTCCTCCTGTGCCCCAGGGCCTGTGGGTGCTCCCTCTGCCTGCAGTATTCACCCCACGTCTCCCATGCCTGGCTCCCCAACCCTCTTCAAGTCTGTTCAAATAGCCGCTTCTCAGTGAGGCCTTCCCTGACAGCGGTATTTAAATGTACCCCTTCTGCACTCCTAGCACCCGCCCGGGTCAGTCTTTCCCATTTCAGGAGCCACCTCCCACCCTGCTCTGCACTTCACTTATTTGTCATGTCTTTTGTCTTTCTCCCCAACTCAAAGATAAGCAGGGGTTTCTGTTTCGCTCACCAAAGTCTCTCCAACTCCTAAAACAGAGTCTGGCACACAGCAGGCACTTAATAAATGTTTATTGACTGACTGACTGAATGAATGAATGAATGAGTGAATGAATGAATAAAAGAACAAAACAACAGAAAAAAGTGGTTCTTACCCACACTGCCTTTTTGTCCCTTTGGTCCTTGTGGACCCGGGTGGCCCAAGACCCCAGGGATGCCTGTGGATACACAAGAACACCTTAGACCTGTGTTTCCCTTAGAACTGGGAGCCAGGGCTGGGCTGCCTGCGACAGGAGCCACACGTACACACCTGGAGTCCCGGGGAGCCCTCGGTCTCCTGTGGGGACAGAGAGAAAAGGAAGAAGTTAGAGGACTTGCGTCCATTACCTAAAAGAGCCACTGGTAGGACTCAGGTAGGATTGCCAAATTCGGTTTGCACTACAGATAAATGTGGAGTAAATCTGCATGTTTATTGCAATATTTGGGACACACTTACAGTGAAAAATCATTTATCTGCAACTCAAATTTGACGCCTTATATTTTATGGCAACCAGAGAGTCAGGGACTCCAGGACCAACAGTCCTCATCTCCAGCATGGTCAGGAGGGGTGTGTGGCCTCAGTGCAAGCTGGAGCCGCAGGGAAAAGGGCCAATGCAGTGACCCAGGCTGGGAGTGGGAAGCAGGGAGTCCTGAAGGGAAGTGGAGAAACCCCAATTCCTGCCCTGGAATCTCTTGAGAAGGGAGGTGAAGTTGGGGACAGAGAGACAGCCCTGTCATCTTGAACAGTGGTTCTCAGAAGGTGCACCCCTGGCCTCAGAAACCCCGGGGTGATCACAACCCTCTACTCCTCATGCCAACCACACCTGCCAAATCAGAGGTTCTGGGAGGGGGCCCAGAATCTTCTGGCAAGTCTCCTAACACACTTAAGTTTGCAAACCCCACTCAGCCAGAGCAAGGGGTGCTGCTGTGTGGTCATTGGGGTAGGGAACCTCTTTCTCCCATGGGTCTGTCCTACTGATTGTCAAACCACTTTTCTGAGGAAATAGACAAATTTCCTACAGCATACGTCATATGTTACACAAGTTAGCACATGATAGTTCCCCAGCTAACACACACTGTGGGGTACCTTTTCCTGTGAATATGTCCTGCCTCCCTGCTGGACTGCCCACTCCCTGAAGGCAGGTGGTGTTGCCCCTACTGGATTCCCCCACAGGAGCCCCATTTCTGAGTGTTGGGTGTCTTCTCCAACCTTCTCCTACTAAGACCCCTGTGAGCAGGCTGCTCACCTCCAGTGATGGTCCCTGATCTGGGTCATCGAAATTAACCTGAGGAGAGGAGGGAGGGATCCAGTCCCAGAGGATCTGATTCCCGGCAGGGACCAGGAACCTGCAGATCTAGAAATCTCACTAAGGATTGTGTAGAGTAGCAGGTCCTTGGGCCGCCCTTTGGAGCTGAGGGGGATACAGGCCCTGGACGCCTTTGGAATGCTTGTTGGGGAAGTCCTTAGAACCTTGAGGAGGGACAAGGGACAGTGCTGTCCCAGACACACAGAGGCCTGCTCTGTCACTAAGCCCCCTGACCCTGAAAGCCCAAGGGTCTGCAGGTCCTACACAAAGGAGAGCTGGCCAGGAAGACTGGGTGTGCAGGAAACATGCTGGCCAACTGCCTTAAACCAACCCTTACTAACATTTTAGGTCCAAATCTCCACGTTTGATTTACCTTTAGGGCCTTGACTTCCCATGTCACCTAAAATCAGAAAGATAAGAAAATCATGAGACATGGTGAGAACCCCAGGGGCCATTCTCTTCTACTGTTTGAAGACCCACAAACGGCAGTCCTGTGTGAGCTGGCATGAGACATAGGTTCCTCTCAGTCTCCAACTGTGTCATTTGGGCACGTCATTGGGCCACTCTTCAGTGATGCCTGAGGTCCCTTCTCGTTCTAAGATATCTTGACCATAAAGCTAATCCTCAACCCTCCTGACAGATACCATAAGCTCTTTCCACTGCTCATCCTTCAACTTGGAAGACCTGAACCCAGAAAACCCACTCCAAGGGCAGGAAAGGAAACCAGGGTCAGGGCTCAGACCACCCAGTACCTTTAGGGCCAGGGCTTCCTCGGAGATTTCCTACAAGAGAAGGTAAACCTGGAGTTAGCTGCACATCTCGTGTGTGTCACATGTACACTCACACATTCACACGAGGGGCATCATGGAGGCATGGGGGAGGAAACGGAGGCTGGGACCAGCAATCAGGCTCTAAGATGCGCTAGTTGTGTGATCTGGGACAGTTCTCCTCTAGGGGCCAGTTCTCCCAGCAGTCAGATGGAATGGCAGTGCTGGTCGCCCTCCCAGGCCCCTGGGCAGGACTGCACGAGGAGTGTGGGAGGGGATGCCGAGCACCCAGCCCCGGGAGCCAGCAGGCCTGGGCTCTTCCCCACGCCGCCGTGCTCACCGTTTTCTTGCTCGGCCATCAACCTGTTCCTCACGAACAGCCAGAGCTCCTCCTGCCGGTGGCTGTCAAGCCCTAGTTTGCCGCCTGCTTCCACGCTGGGTGCTTCCCCCTGCAGCCAGTCCTTGTTGGCCCGTTGCATCTCCTCCTTGAAAAGCAGCACGTTGCTCCGGCTCTGCTCCAGCTCTGCCACCCGTGCCTTCAGCGCCCTCACCTCCTCGGCTGTAAGGGGTGGATGGGAGGCTGGTCAGCCAGGCTGGGCCTCCCTGCACAGGGCTCGCCTCCAGGATCCCCACCATGGCACCCCGGGGACATTGTGCTGGAAGCTGTACACAGAGACCCCCTGATGTGACGGCCAGCAGCGGGAGGGGGCAGCTACTCAGATGGCAGCCCAGGCCTAAAGAAACCTGGCCTAGGAGTCAGTCTTCCCGTGGGAGGCACGGGCCCTCCTTCTCCCTGGGAACGGTGCAACAGGCCACACAGAGACCCATACAGGATGTGGGAAAGTTGAAAAGCAAAAAGGCTACGAGAAGGTCTGACTTGATTACGAAGGGCAGCCGACTGCTTGCTGAACAGGCTGTTTGGGGGCAGGGGGCCCTAGGCTAGTAGCCACACAGGGACTCCAGCTCGGCCACAGAGCAGCTGTGGGACCCTGGCCAGGTGCTTCTGGAGCCTCAGCTTGCTCATCTGCAGTAACAAGGGGTCTGTACCAATCATCTCTGACCCCCCAATCCTGCACACCTGGGCCATGCTGACTCCCTCTCTCTGAATGGGCAGTCGGGCCCTGCCACTGCGGTCACATACCCAGAGCAATGAGGCCAAAGAGTAGCCCCAGGAGCAGCAGCCAGGTGAGCAGCAGGCCCAGCAGCCACTTCCACCAGCTGCAGCAGGAGCCACAGGGGCACCAAGCTGGCGCTGCTCCCCATGGGCCACCACTGCCACCGCTGCCACCACCGCCACCACCACCACTGCCACCGCCACGATGGTTGTAGTTGTGCATTTCTGTGGAAGACAAAGGAAGAGTAAGGTGAATGCAGTAGGTAGGCTCTTGTCCTCTTCCCTCCAAGTACTCTGGTTTTTGGGGACTCCCCAGAGGGCTGAGGGAATGCTGGTGGGGCAGATAATTCCATCAAGGAGAAGGTTGACTCCTAGGAAAACACCAGGCCGTGGCTGGTGAAGAGCACATGGCTGTGCAGCCCAGAGGAGGTCCCCTCACCTCTGTTTCCTTCCTTATAAAATGGGGTTAAAAGATTGCCTACTTCTCAAGATGGTTGTTGAATGAAGGAAATAAGGTACATAAGGTAGTAGCACAGAACGCGGCACAGCACGGAGTTTAAAAGCCTTCGGGATGACCACCAATCTGCTAAGAGTTCCTGCATCTGATTATGGCCAAACCCAAAGCATTCCCACCTCCCCACTTCTGTTCCCACTGTTCCTTCTTCGTAATCCTTGCATGCCTGAAATTAGACTCAGCACCCAAGTGTGTCCAGGAAGTATTTTGGGTATTTGTTTTGTTTGCTTTTTTTTAGTGAAAAGTGTTTTTAGTGGCTAAAAGGGGCTGATAAGCTCTCACAAGGCTGTGGAAGCAAGTGAGTTAAGTATAAAGGGCTGGAGAAGTGCATTGTCTCAGTGGCACCTTGAAGCCCAGGCAGGGGGTGTTCTGTGAGACACAACAGCAGCTCCCGGACTGCTGGGAGACCCTGGACCCTGGACAGTGGCGATGGTGCCCACAGGGTACAGGCAAGGCCTGGGAGCCCCCCCCGCCCCCGCCCGAGCTGAGCTCCTTCTGCAGCCTCATCCCAGCTCCCAGCCTGTCCCCCCACCCCTGTGTCCTTCAGGCCTGCAAGGAAATGCTTTAGAAGTATGTGGCTCAGGTGTGCCCCTTCCTTAGTCTGTTCCTTCATCCTGTCACTGTAGGACCTGCTGCTGTCACCCACCTGCAGAGGCAGCCTTTCCCTTCGTGGACACAGTCTTCACGTCTCCTGGAAGGCAAAGACCGAGAACAGGTTGTGACCTGAGCTTTTCAACTACAGAAGCCCCCAGGGCAGCCTGAGAGTTGACCATGGGCGGAACTTGTGGGGAATACGCCGTCCAAGATGTGGACACTGATGTGGACACTTATGTGGACGCTGATCTGATGTTTGCAACAATTACATCGATAAAAACATGGCTTGGCAAGCAGTTAATAGTGGGGAAAACCAGCATTTTAACCCTCTTGTGACCCTAAATCTTTCAAGCCCAAGACATTCTTGGAGTTCCATGTTAGGAGTGACATTTGCATTCAAACGATAAATGTGCTTATGAGAAAAGACTCTTGATTTCTCGGTTCAGGGACTCTGAACATGTTCGTCACCTGGAGTGGAGGGGCAGAGGGCTAGTTCATGAGTCCCTCCTACTCTCCAACCACTGAATGTTTGTGGGTATGTATGAGGTTTTCTGGGAAAACTAGTTACAGCTTTCATCAGATTCTGAAAGGGGTCTTTTGTCTCCACAGCCCCACTGCCACCCCTAAAATGGAAGTCTTCAAAGTAAGCATTTTCTCAGAGTCAGGCCTGCTGAAGATTGTAATGGATTTCATTTGCATTTTGAAAAGATGTTCTAGGACCCAATTTTTCTCTTCCTTTCCTGACCTCCCTGAAATCAGTAATCTGGAGAGAGTCTTAGGCTCAGAGCAGGTGAAGAAATGCAGTTATCCCGGAGAGAATCCAAATACTTGGGAAGAAAAAAATAAAGATAGCAAGGGCTTTGCAAAAACATTTTCTAGCTGTTCTGAAAATTATGGGACAGGGAGTAAGATGTCATAGATGTCAGACGCACCCCAGGAAGGTGTCGGCTGCAGTAATGCGCATGTGCACACACCACACACCCATGAGACCGCGGTGGAGCTTGCAGAAATACGGTCTCTGACTCAGCGGGTCTGGGCTAGGCCCGGCCCTCTGCATTTCTAACACAATCCTGGGTGGTGCCCATACCGCTGGGCCAGAGGCCACAGTCTGAGCAGCGAGGTCTCGGAAGATAAATAAAGGAGAGGCAGACAGATCGGAGTCAGATTTCCTCTCACCATTGGCGTCTGATACCAGGCAGGTGTCAGCAGTGTAGGCAGCTTGCTTTTCTTTTTTGAGGGTGTCATCTGAAAAAGAAGCTGTGCGCACACCCATGATCATCCAGGGTACTGTGCTCTCACTCCCTGCCAGCCCCAGAGCCACGCCTGGGTGGACACCCAGGTAGGCAGAGGGCCCCCATGTTCCTGGGTTAATCTCCCACATCTGTGTATGTGGTTAGGAGACTTCCCATTGCCCCAAGACCCCTCTGGGAGTGTTTTGCCAGAATTTTCCTGGATATTTATCTAATTCAAGGCAGACCTGGAACATCGCATTCAGGCAGGCATTTTTCACTTGAGTGGGGTCACTGTGGTTTTCTTTATGAAAAGGTCTCAAACCACCCTGCTAGGACATTTGGTCCCCTACACTGTCTGCCTTTCTCCTGAAACCTGCCTAGCCTGGGCCCCCACGTACTTGCAGCAATGCTGGCCGGGGAGGCAGTGAAGACCTTCCCGCTGTCCTTGGTCATGATCAGCAGCTCCATCTCCTTCTTGGCTGGTGTGTTGTCTTTCTCCAGGATCAGGAATTTACAGTCCTTGTGCAAGAGATCCTCATTCTGGACATTTGTGGTGCAGGCTGGCAAGGAAAGGAGCCGGTGAGGAGAAGGACAAGGGAGAGAGGGAAGAAATGAGCCAAAGAGGAAGGAGGAGGAAGAAAAGAGGGGAGAGGGGAAGAGAGAGGTGAGCAGGTACCTCTGAGGGCCCCCAGCATCCTAGGGACCAAAGGCACCCTCCCCTGCCCAAGTAGCCATCAGAAGGTCAATGCCGGAAGCACTTGGGCGGCAGGCCTATGATGCTTCCTCCCCACCTGGACGTTACAGGATCTTTAGGGAAAGGGCCACAGGCCCCTTGCCAGGAAGGCACTCCTTGAATTAACGTGGCAGGTTCATTTCTATCCTTCAGCCTCAAGTGTTAGCATCCTGGGGGGGGCTCCTCCTGGAGCACCCGGCCTAACATACACACACTCCTATCTCTAGCATGCCATCTATTTCTTCCAGCAGGTGTTATTTCCCGTCATCCTTTCGTGTACTTTATCTACTCAGTCTATCTGCCTCCTCTGTGGCAGTGGGCAGCCTGAGACTCTAGTCTGCCTCATTCGTGCCTGTACTCTGGGCACCAAGAAGAGCGTCTCTCTCATACAAAGCAGGTGCTCAGTAAACCTTTTTTGAATCAGCTAATTATTGAATGGAAGGAAACAACAGGATCAGAGCAATGGAGGAAAGAACCCACTGGGTGTGGAGAGCCTAAGTTGATAAAGATCCTATTGAAAGTGCTTGTGGGGCAGTGGCTGCTTCTGAGGGGCACTCTTGTTCTTACACTGGGTGACACGTAACAGGAACAGGCCGGGGGCTTCCAGATATTGGTGGGGACTGGCGGGTAAATGGCTGGCCCAAGGCAGGTGCAGAAGGTGGAGCTCTCTGCCCCACCCCTGGCACCCTGGGCCAGGAAAGCCAAGGTAGGGTCAGCGGCACATCCATCCCTGCTCTGTCTTAGCAACGGAGAGGCCTTTGGTGTGAGTCACATTTGCAGACCTCAGAGCAGCAATGGGTCAAATCTCCTCTCATATAGCAGGTGCCACGGTGGAGCACTTCTCCCTCCACACAGGCCTGCCCTCAGCAGCTGGGGATAGCGCTCACCTGCAGAGGTGGACACACCAGTGCTCACAACAGCAGGGCTCTGGGGCAGGTTTTTCTTCATACCATACGCTGCAAGAAAGGAACCACTGAGTGAGCAGGGCCAGCTCCATGAAACTTAGAAGCAGCCTGACCAGCCCTAGCAGCTAGGCACCCTCCACAGGTGAGAGGAAGAGGACAGTAAGAATAAGAAATAAAATGACTACTAATTATGAAGGTAACTCTCCAGCCACAGGGACAGCAATGAGTTTAGATGAAACTTCCTTTGGTCTAATCCTCATCCCTTTAGGACTGTTCCATAACTCCACCTCCTACACAAAGGCCTCCTAGGATCCCTCCCCTTCGGAAATCTATAACCCTAACACCTGCTCTGCATAACTGGACTCCTGTGGTCTTATAGAATGCCCAGTTGTTTCATGTGTAGTAGTCTTTCTACTCCAAGTAGACAGTAAGTAAGTTGAGGGCAAAGACGAAGGTTCACATCTCTTCTGCTCCCCTTCCCAGGCGTGCACAGGGGTTCCACCATGAAATCAGTAAGATGATCATTTTACAGTGACAAGGAACTCCCAGAAACTGCAGTGAGACAGCGATATACAGGTGACACTCCACAGCAATGTGGTTTTCCCTGTTGTTTTTCTCATGTCTGAGCCAGCAAATGCAGAGGCTGGCATCTCTAGGTTGGGAGATAGGGGGCTATTTCTTTGGTGGGAAAGGTTGATTTTTTTTGAGACATTTGGGTCCTTCCAATACAGTTGCTGGAAAGGGACATTGTGAGGTACAGCTGCAAAGGGGCGTTCCTCCCTGGGCCGAAGCTCCACACCTCGGCTACAGACCTGTGGAGGCGGTGGCCGTGCTGTGGGACAGGGTGGACGAGCTGGGTGCCAGGTTGTTCTGCATGCCAAACACTGCGAAAGCAATGGAGGACAGGTGAGTGTGGGGGGGGGAGAGGGAGGCCCCCCCAAATCATTTCCACGATAAAGGTCTTGGCACAGGACAGATTCCCCAGCTTTCTCAGTGACATGGGGAGCTTTTTATGCCCCATCTCCCACCAGAGGCCAAAAGCTACCAGCACTTCCAAGTATTGGGTAGTTAGGGCCACACAACACAAGAGCACTAATTTGCACAGGGTCTGACAGATTTCTCTGTATCCCAGGATGGATGGACTTTCTTTCTTTCTTTCTTCTTTCTTTCTTTCTTTCTTTCTTTCTTTCTTTCTTTTATATATTTATTTAAAAGATTTTATTTACTCATGAGAGACAGAGACAGAGACACAGAGAGGGACAGAGACGGGGTGGGGAGGGCTGGGTAGAGGGAGAAGCAGGCTCCATGCAGGGAGCCCAATGTGGGACTCGATCCTGAGACTCTAGGACTATGCCCCAGGCCGAAGGCAGGCGCTAAACTGCTGAGCCACCCAGGGATCCCCTGTATCCCAGACTTTTAAAAACATCCCTGGGGTCTGGCACCTGGGTGGCTCAGTAGGTTAAGTGTCTGACTCTTGGTCCCAGTTCAGGTCTTGATCTCTGGGTGGTGAGTTCAAGCCCCATGTTGGGCTCCATGCTGGGTGTGGAGCCTACTTTAAAAAGAATATTACAGGGGTCCCTGTTTGCACCCTGGGGTGCCCCGATGTACAGTGGGGGACTGTGGGCATAGGACACAGACACAGAGGGGACTGACCTGGAATATCCTGGTTTCCCCTTGAACTTCCTTCCTATGTATCCTTCCTTCTTGAGACTCAGATACATAAAAACTCCCCTAACCCCCATTACAATTTCAGAGACTGGCTGTTGGTTTTTAAATAATGTGTAGAAGCTCATTCCTCCCATCAACAGCTTTTCTTATTCCATCCTCGCTAGTGTTTGGGGCACAGATCATGGATCCAAGACCAGCCCACCTTCCTGAGTCAGGACTTTGCAAAGCAGAATGACAAAGGCAGAAGGAATTAAACATGAACCTGGTGTATTCTGGGTTTGGTGGAGCTCAAGTTAATTGGAGGTATGAAATGAGAATGCTACATTCGCACTTGTGGATATACCAGCCAAGAAAATAAAGAAGGCCCACAGCATTATATTTATTAATCACAGTAACATAGAAGGCAGAGTCCTTAAAAAAAAAAAAAAAGTGGGCTGTAACATTTACATAATAGGCAGTTATATAACAAAACCGTGAATACAGATTTCTTTAAAATGGTCATCTTTGCCTTGGGAACTAATCAGTAAAATTGAACCCTGAACCAACTACAATATTTATAAAAAGATCTAAAGTAAGATCCTTTTCACATAACAATACTTTCTACCTGAGAAATGTCCGGAGCGCTGACTCAGCCCCTTTGCTTCCACTTCTCCATCGCTCACAGAAAAGAAAGGGACCAGCCCTTTGACCTGGCCACGGGCCGAGCTCTACTTGCTACCGGCAGGCAGCCCCTGGGCCCTGCTTCTGCATCCCTCTGCGCGCTGAGCAAAGTCTTCAAGCTCATCGGCAGAAAGGACATTTATGTGGAAACCATTCTGTTTTCCTCAGCAGGAGGGAGCATCAGTTTTTCTTCTTCTTCTTTATAAGATTTTATTTATTTATTTGAGAGGGAGAGAAAGAGAATGAGTGGGGGGGAGTGGCAGGCAGAGGGAGAAGGAGACTCCCTGCTGAGCAGGGAGCCTGACTCAGGACTTGATCCCAGGACCCTGATATCAGGGCCAGAGCCAAAGGCAGAAGCTCAACTGACTGAGCCACCTGGGTGCCTACATCACTGACTTTTTAAGCGAATGTTTCAGAAAAGGCAACACAAGCTGGGGTGTACTGACCTGAGGAGCAGGTGCTGACCCCGGGGTGCAGTGTGGAAGAGCCGGATGTCATGTTATTTGGAACTCCGAAGACTGCAGGAGAGGAGGAAGGCTGGTGAGAGGGATGTCCAGTCCAGAACAGGGGAGGGGGGTTGCAATAGAAGGAAGGAATGGCAGGGCTACATTTTTAGGTTTTGTTAAATTTCTGGTTTTAGGAAAATCTTGAGCTCTTGCCTTGTAGCAAAGAACCAAATGGTCTGTGGTGTGCCTTGGGTCATAGCCAAGGGATGGTCACAGGGCAGTGGCCTCGGGTGGACACAGGGTCCAGCCAAAGCCCCTCTTGTTAGTCACCACTTTGCAGAGAAGGCATCTGAAGCCCAGAGAAGTTAGCTGACTTACTCAAGGTCACAGTGTATCCATGTGGAGTGAAACTAGGTTCTTTAGATCTGTTTTCATGTTCTTTCTTCTGATACATTGTGCTAGATAGTCCTCCCTATAGGGGACCCCCCAAAATAAACACCTTGGAGACTGAACTGAGTTGGAGTTCCAGTGGAAAAATCTTGGGATACTAGGCCACAGAAAGCCCCCCAGGGAAGGCCATGGTCGAGGGTCAACACCAGAGAGGTCATATTCAGCTCCAGGCAAAGGTGCACGAGGTTCAGGTAGGAGGGGAAGCACATACCCGATCCTGCAGAATAGGCGTTGGTGTTGAGGAGGGATGAGCTCTGGGTTGTCACGTTGTTGTGATAGGTCCCCATGGAGGACCCTGCCGGCAAGGTGGAAGACCACATGTGGGAGGGAAGGTTGGCATCCAAGATGGTGGCATCATAGGTGCCAGACACTGGAATCAGAGAGGCACACCCACACCCCAGTGAGAGGCAAATCGGCACTCTGTGCTAGGGTAACCCTCTCAGGTTGGTTTGCCAGAACTTTCTTGGGTTTAGCCCCGAAGATCCCATGACCTGGAAACTCCCTCATTCCAGGGAAGCTGGTTGGGCCACTTCCATCTGAAACCTTGGAGCTGGTGAAAACTTGATCTCCTGTATTAGAAATTTTTACTGGCTCTTGGTGAAATTTGAAGTAGGTCAGTTTTGCTCTGGAGTCTGCCCATTTTTCCAAGATCCCCTCCCCATCTCCTGGTGTGCTGGTGTGGTGGGGACCAGTGGGCTCTCTATGTGCTGCTGATTCCACCTTCACAGATGCCAGGGGAATAGTAAATCCCACGTAGAATTCCAGGCACACACACAGCAGGCACAGCTAGAAAAGGCCTTCGTCTGAGACCACACTGCACCAGGGCAGTCTTTCCTGGCTAAGCGCTCCATAAACATTCCTATGTGCTGACCAGGCCCAAGAGCCACTCTGCCCCCAGGAGGGGGCTTTGGTGCATCTTCAGATCTGAAGCCAATTCTTCCTCTTCATATACAAGCAGAGTTGGCTCTGCAGGTCATAAAAACTGCCCCGAGGCTTGGTTTTAGATTTATTAAATAAGAGAAAGATCACAATCTCAAGTTTTTTTTTTCCCTCCAGGAGTGAAAGACAGAAAAATTCACAGCGAAAAAAAAAAAATTGATAGCACAATTGGCTTCTTTCTTCATCTCCCTCTGAGGATCTACTTATTCATCTTTCTGCCTCCCAGAGAACCCAGCTTTCTTGGCAGGCATGTGATCTAGGAGTGCTCCCCAACACTCATCCTACTTGACTACGCTCTCCTGGTTATCTTCTTGACTTCCCCCAGAGGCCTTCACCTCTGCTAGTGGCCGTGTCTCCCCGTCTATTGCTTCCCCTCGGTGCTTGGTACTTGGCATAGAGGAGGCACATAATATTGACTGAATAAATGAATGAAAATACTACAGTCATCCCCAGGATTCTTCACTTGGGGACCCAGACCAACATATTCCCAAGAGAAGTCAAGAATGTCCTAGGAGAGAATCTCTCGGATCTAGAGCCCAGCTACATGCTAATGGGATGGTGGACCAGACAGGGTGAAGCCCACATGGTCATGCAACACGAAGAGTGAATGCTTAATACTCTGCGGGGTCTCTGCTGCAACCTGGAAGGCCTGTTGGGGTATGGCTGAGTTCCTGGGCCAGGGCAAATCTGCTGCCTTGTTCCCTTCCCTCCACAGCAGTGGGGGCCACAGGACTTACCCGACTGGGAGCTTGCCGTCACCATTTTGGTCTCCACCGTGCCTTTCTTGGGGATGGGTAGTGTGTTGGAGGAATTCCGGGTGGGACTCACACTTGCTGATCGGCTCCCTTTGAGCAAACGCTTAACATCATCCAATTCCGTCCCTGCAAAATCATCCCCATGTTTTCCATTAGGCTCAGGATTCCTTTCTGAGTCCCGTGGCAGCGGGGGGAACATTAGTGGTATTCTGAATATGAGGGGGGATGGCATCTGCTTCCCATGCTGGGATATTTTTGGTCAGCCTTATAATTTTTGCATTTTATCAATTTATAGCAAGCACTTATCAACCTGGCACTTCATAATATTAATGGCCTCATAAATACAGAGCCTCCACGGGGAGGTCCTCAGTATATATCTCCTAATTAGACCTCATCAGGCACCACAGGGATAATTCTGTGGCTGGAAGACCCTGTCATCCTAGATTGGGGGACTCGGGGATTTACATCCAGGGTGGTGAGAGAACCAGATCCCTTGAAAGAAATGGTTTAACAGTGGTCTCCTCCCCTCCCAGGATACCTTGAATGTCAGGTTCCTGACCTTGCGTGCTCTGCAGTGTCATGAGGAATTTGTGGTCCATATTCCCTTAATAGTATGCTGCTTTTGTGTGAGTTCAAGTCCATTTGGCCACTATTGTAGCCAGGGTCACCGAGGGATACAAGCTCCCTGTGCCTCCCTATGTGGCAAGTAGGAGAAGAGGGAGACATCCTACGAGGGCAGTGCCTCAGAGACAGACAGGTTTGCACACAGCACGTGCTGGAGGACTGCCCAGGCACCCCCTTCCCTGAAAGCTCCAATCTCTGGCTCAGCCCTGCCCAGCCTGGAAAGGCTCTGGGGAGATAGCCTCAGACCCCACGGCCCAGGGCATGGAGCTGTCTGGGCCAGCCCCAGTCTCTGATTCCTGGGCCAACCAACCTGGCTCTTTGTCCTCCTACTCTTTGTACTTGGCTCCTGTCCTATCAGTTGGGTTCATTTCAAAATGTCATATAACCCTCTAATAAGAACAACCAGAACAAACTCAAATTCTCATACTCCACTTACTTCTGACTCTTCCTAAGCTTATGTATCCTATCAGGTACCCCCCCCTGCTCCTTTTCCTTTGGCCACAATGAACATTCTTCCAATGTCTGAGCATATGTTCCTCAGATATCTCACACCAGCTCATCCTATGGACCCTTCAGGCTCCTTTCACGGGACACTGTTTCTTCAGCTCCCTGACAGGTCATGGGTGGTTGGTTTACTATCTTTCTATTAGCAGCAGGGAGCATGAGTTATTCAGCTCCTGACCCTGGCACCTTGCCCAGGGTCCCTCTCACAGAAGGCCTTCAACGTGTTTTAGGATTGAGCGCACATACATGTGCAGTAGTGACCCTGGATTCCTGGATCCTTTGTTTTCAGACAGACAGTGACCACTTACATCGGGTAGATGGGGACGCACTCTGCAGTCGAACTCGGATTTCGCTCTCTGTACAAGGGAAGAGACAGAGAAGGTATAAGTGGAGGATCTTGGATCACAGTGCCTGACCCTGAGCTCTGAGCACCAGAAAGAAATTTGGGCTTCTCTGAGATCTGTGTCCTGGGACCAGGAAACATCAGTATACCCAGAGCAAGTGCTGCTTAGAAAGAGGGGTCCTGCAATGAAACGCCGGGACACCTGCACCCCGATGTTTTATACCAGCAATGTCCACAATAGCCAAACTGTGGAACGAGCCTGCGTGTCCATCGAAAGATGAATGGATAAAGAAGATGTGGTTTATGTATACAATGGAATATTACTCAGCCATTAGAAATGACAAATACCCACCATTTGCTTCGACGTGGTTGGAACTGGAGGGTATTATGCTGAGTGAAATAAGTCAATTGGAGAAGGACAGACATTATATGGTCTCATTCATTTGGGGAATATAAATAATAATGAAAGGGAATAAAGGGGAAAGGAGAAAAAATATATGGGAAATATCAGAAAGGGAGACAGAACATGAGAGACTCCTAACTCTGGGAAACAAACTAGGGGTGGTGGAAGGGGAAGTGGGTGGGGGTGACTGGGTGGTGGGCACCGAGGTGGGCACTTGACGGGATGAGCACTGGGTGTTATTCTGTATGTTGACAAATTGAACACCAATAAAAAATAAATTTATTTTTTTAAAAAAGAAAGAGGGGTCCTCTCCCCATGCCCCGACCGGACCACTGCACACCTCCTGATGCCTGGAGATGCTCTGATGAGATCACAGCTGAGCCCTGAGGCTTGATCACCATCAGCAATGACTGGCCCCCTTCTCTCTGCTCATCCCCTAGCTGCTCTAACCAAGCTACTCTCCTGCCCTCTGGGTCTCTGATACATGAAAGAGAATTCTAAAACTCATATCATTTACTTAGCCACTTTGGCTTCCTATGGGCAGGAAACAGGTGGTTTCACATGATCTGTTAGCTTCAGCTGGGCCACTGACATCTTTTAACTATCAGCCTAAAGTTGTGAGTGCTTGGTATGGTCCTAAATTTCAAGTTACTGATGCAAGAAGGCCCCTGGAAATCTAGAGTAATCACTGAGAGCTACTGGAGCCCATGAAGAAGTCTGCCTTCAGCACAGCCCAGACGTGCTGCTCTTCCCCACCCTCACCAGATTCATCTGGGGGCATGGGGGCAGCTCTCCCCAGGACCCCATTTCCCTTCTAGAGCCTTATCTGTGGGCAGACATGCAGAGTACCAAGCTGTCATGGAGCCCTCTGTCCCCTGGAATAATTTGAAAAAGAAGGGCTTTGGCTCATTTCTCACTGCATGAAGGCAATTACAGTATATCTTATTAAAGTCAGCCAGGATACTATAAGTGAAACCACATGTGGTGCCAGCGTCTTCACAATCCACAGCAGAACAAACCACTCCCAGGTGGTTACCATGTGTTTTTATCCTTGCTTCCACTTGCATGTTAAATCACTGCCAAAAATTACCCTTCCCATCCTGATGGGGCCAGAGAAAGAGTTCCAGGATGTTGTAAGCTCCTTGAAGACACCAATCACACCTTAGTCATTCTTCTCTACTTCTTCCATTTTCTGGCTCAAGGCTGGGCACACACATTAGATGCTCAGAAAACACTTGTTGAATGAACTGAACCCAGCAACAGAGCTTACCTCGTGTTTGGCTCCTTCCTCTGGTTGAAGAAGATGCTGAGGAGCAAAGAGAAGTAATCTTAGGCATATAAGAGGTGACATGCTAGATAATTTTGACCTGGAAGGGGATCTATTTGAGTGGGGGTAAGATATTGTTTTCATTGTGCATTTATATCCAGATGGGAGCCTTCCTCTATGTCTCTGCTAATGCTTTGTAAAGGACTCCAAACTGAATACTTGCCTGCCTTCTTCCTGGAGCTCAAGCCCTGAGCATCCCACTTCCTACCTGGTGGCCCCAACTGGAAACTGAGCCAGCAGCTCTGTTTCAGGACAAAATGACGGAACGTGTCCATGTGGAGGTCTCTACCTGGCTTCCCTATTTCCATCATTTGCCCACAGTGAACTCAACCACCTGAATTTGATGGTGGACGCTTAATAATGATGACCACATATCCAAAAGGGAGAGCGAGTTTTGCAAGGCTCCGATGCACGTAGGGTATTAGCTATATGAATGTTAAGTTAGCTCACACTTAGAGTATTAACTAACATGATTGATCATTTGGAAGCCTAGTCATTGGCTCTGGCTGTCTATGCTGATCAAATACATTTAAAAAAAAAAAAAAAAAACCAAGCAAACAAACAAACCAACCGAAAAACTAGCCATATCTTCCCTTTAGCTTTTTGTTAGAGACTGCCTTGGTCTTCCTGCTATAAGCAAATAAGTAAAATTATGGTCACTGTACAATGATCGTATCAGTTCATTTGTACAGTGAGAATCCAAGAACATGGACCACTAACTTAAGGTCAAGTGAAGAGGGAGCCTAGGGTTTCCCTTGGCATAAAATGTGCCCCAAGGGCAGCCAGCTGTAGCAGAGGTGCCGAGATGTTTGGTATTTGTGCATTTGAATGCCTGCTCCTTTTTGCTAGGAGGTCTCTGTGCATCCTGTGGAAGGAAAAACCCTACAGTTGTTGTTTGGCTTTGGAGGCTTCTCTGTCCAAGCCTGAGCCTTGTGTGAATAACTTGCCATTTTGGTAGTGTCAGGAGCAATGGCTAATGACAATAAGTTAAAGGTGCTTCAGGATAAAGAGCAAGGGAAAAACTGGTCAGCAGAGGTCAAAGTCCTTTAGAAGAATCCATGTAATTCACTGTATCTCCCCACCCCCACCCAAGGCATTTTTCCAAGTGCATCTGATTGGTTCCTCTGGAAAATAAGGAAGGGACCTACCGAACTCCTTCCGAGGATACTCTGGAGAAGAGTTGCCACTGGAGCTCCCTGCAGAGCAAGAAAACACTTAGTACATATGGCCACAGAAACCTGGGGCTTCCGACGGGAGGTGTGCAGAGCCCCCGCAGCCTGGTGTCCAGGAGGATGGTAGGGGCCCTACAGCAGGCTCACTCTATGAAATAGGACACGCCTGCTGGACACAGTTGTGGGAATTCATTCTGATCACTGATTTACTTCAGATGGCAAAGGGTCTGAACGAAGGAAAGCAGGAGGTTTGGTTTTCTTTTTTTGTTTTGAAGGCCTCAACTGAGTCTTCCCCGTATGCTGGTGCAGGTGATCTGTCCCTGGCCAAATAAATGTGCTGTCAGCATCAGACTGTCACTGACCTAGTGGAGCTCGTCCTAGATGGGGACCCTTTACAATGAAGGTACCAGCCCCAGGAAGGCCTAAGATCACAGAGCAGCCATGGTGACACAACCCGCCTCGCTGCCCCCCTGACCCATACCCCCTAGTAACTGGTCTTCATCACTTACTGGGGAACCCATACCTCAATCCTGCCTCTCCACCACCACTACCCACCTCTGTTCACTGTCAGGCCCACTTGCTGCCTGGCTCATCTGTTTCCCACTAAATGGCTTCTGCACTCACCAGGTACTGCAGAGACTCTAGGGGCCTAGCGAGTGTCCTCCTCCCACCTCCTGCTTCTTGCCCTTAGTGCTTTCTCTCGCTTGACCAGGTCTCTGCCTGGGTCCTGCTCTCCTGGCCCCCTCAGACTCTTTTTCCTCCTGTGTTCTCTGGTTCTTCCTTCCCCTTCATCCCTAACCATCTTTCTTTCCTCCCTTCTGCTTTCAGGCTCCCTTCCTTCAGGATGCATTATTGAGCTTGTTCCTGGGGGACCTCCATCTGGCTCCCCCTCCCTTAATCGCTGGCACCGCCATGGACCTGTGCTTGCATCCCAGTGGCACGGCCTCCCTCTCTCCTAATATTTAATCAGTTGTCAAACGTCAATTCCGTCTCACCTCCTGCTCCTTCTTTCCACTCCCGTTGCTACTGCCCTAGTCCCCACCAAGTTTGCCCTAGTCCTTGCCAAGTTTGCCCTTGACTACAGAGGATCTTTTAACTTGTCACCATGCTCAGCCTCCTTCCTCCCTGTTCTTCCTGCACACGGCTAATTCATTTCTTCTATTTTTTAGAAAGATTTATTTTATAGAGTGAGCTTGAGAGTGAGTGAGTGTGCACGAGAGGGGCAAAGGGAGAGGGAGAGAGACACTTTAGCAGACTCAGCACCGAGCACAGAGCCTGAGGAGGGGCTCCATCTCACAACCCTGAGATAGTGACCTGAACTGAAACCAAGAGTCAGACGCTTAGCGACTGCACCACCCAGGTGCCCCTCACATCTAATTCATTTAAGTGTTGTTAGAGAGGAAGAGTTTCCTCTGCCCTTCAAGATCTTTCTAGCTGGGCTGAGAATCAAACTGACATAAGACAAATTACCCAGAGAAAGGAGAAAATCAGATTTAGTTTTGTACATACAGGGAATCCACAAAGACATAGAAATTCCAGAGACAGGCAACATGATGCTCCTGTGAGCTGAGGAGAGGGTTAAGGGCCTGAGGATACAAAGGATAGAAAGACCATTAGGGGGAAGGTGAGAAGTGATGGTTGGGAAACAAAAATTGCCTCATGTAGGTAAGTGTTTTAGGTAAGGGAATCTTCTTGGTATAAACAGGCATTTGAGGGAGAGGTAAAGTGCTTTTTCCCAAATCTGCTGGGTTTTGACTGTTTTTAACTCAAAATAATGTTCATGCCAAAATGGCCCATCTTGGGCAGCCTGCCCTTGGCCCCTACTGTGTCCACTAAGGTGTTCCACACCGCATTAAACACACGGTAGGTATGTGGTCAAATACTAAAAGGATGAATGAATAAGAGGGCAAGTATATCAATAAAATCTCTAAGTCTGTAAAAGAAATGAAACTTCTGTGGAAAACAAGGCAGAAGGAATGTAGATAAAATTAAATTTCTTATAACCCACAACCTATAACAAATACTTGAGGCAGACAGAGTAGAACATTCCTCCAGAAAGCTTCCAACTGTCTTACTGCCAATGCCTTTCTAGAGGGAAAAACCACCTTAGCTTGACAATAGCCCAGCCTCCAATATCTTGTGAATCTACTTTAGCACTGAAAATCCTTTTGGAACTTCCCTTTGTCTTTACTTCCCCAGCCCCAAGTATATAATTGATCACCCCTCACAATCCCAGGGTAGCAGCTCCTTCTGCCCATGGGTCCTGTCCCCGGGCTATCATAAAACCACCCTTCTGCACCAAAGACTTCTCAAGAATTCTTTCTTTCCTTGAGGCCTGCGGCTCCGGACCCTAACACTCCAAACCACATACAAGCAAGAGTGAAGAGAAAGGTGAGAGCAGAAACAACTAGACAGGGGTGGCCAATCATTCCATCTTTGAAGGGTGAATGAAGTTATTTGGAGGAGAGAGTAGTTCTCTTCTAAAAATCTGTGGGACTAAGACTCAGTCGGTCAAGTGTTGCACTCTTGATTTTGGCTCAGTTCATGATCTCGGGGTCATGAGATTGAGCCCTGTATGGGCTCCATGCCCAGTGCAGAGATTTTGTCTCTCCTTCTCCCTTTGCCCTTCTTGCCTTGCTCTTGCTCTCTAAAAAAAAAATAAATAAAATAAAATCTGTGGAACTGATACCTTCATATGTTCCATGGCGGGTGATGTGAGTTTTCCTTTCAAAGGTGGAGCCTGGTGAGTTGGGCAGAGTGGAGGCAGGGGAATGAGCCCTCCTGTAACTGGAGGTGGAGGCATTGCCTCGTGTGCTTCCACCTGCAAGTGGGGAAAATCAGAAACTCTCAGAGCACTTCGGACTGGCTTGCAGTTACATTGATTACCCTTGGGCTGCTTGAAAGAGAAGGGGGCCCTACAGAGGGCCCAGAGGACTTTCAGAGAACAGTGCTGAAAGGGTCCACCTGGGCATTCCAGGGCTGCTCAGAAATACGGGGTGGGATCATTGCCACTGCCCTTCCCCAGCTGACCATGGAAGGCAGGCAGGCAGGCGGGCCCTTCATGGATGTGGCTGCACATGGCAATGGAGAGGCTTTGGCAGGATTTTTCTTGAGGACCTGGCATTTAATTGTAGCTCACTGCTGGATGGACCAGAGTACAATCCAACACGGAAGTGTTCCTTGACAGCCAACGGCAACCACTCCTCTTGGTCAACCTGGCTATTTGTGTGTCTTGGGTCTTCTTTTTCAGTGTCAATCCAAGCTGGTTTAAATGGCTTCAGGGGCTATATATGTGCTTGTTTTTTTGTTTTGTTTTGTTTTGCCTTGCTCTGTCTCATTTGGGTTTGAAAGCTACCGGGAAAGAGTGTTTCATTGGGAACAATGGGCCCGTGTTGGATGCTTGCCCAGTGGAAACTCAGTGTGGGATTGTGTGCCACTAGATTCCTCTGAGCAGAGTAACCCAGTTGTTAAGTTTCTTTTGTTGTTGTTGTTAATGCAAATTGTAAACCCTCTTGTGTGCACACCCTTCCCTAAAAGAATTGGCTTAAAGAGAGTGATTCAGTGGGAAAGGAGCCACCTCCCTGTGAAGCATTCTTGATTGTTGTTATTTATATTGGGGACTTAATGAAAATTGATCCCATCCTAAGTAAGCAGGCTTCTTAAGTAAGCAGGCTTCGAATGTGACTAATTTGAAAGTATCACCTTGGCTGGGATGTGTGTCAGTAACATAGCAATTTGGGGCATTTGGAATGGATGACAAGCAGTTGTGACCATCCCACTCCTTGTAGGACTGTAGGACTTCCCCCCCATCCCCAAAAGTTCTCCCCCAATCCCTCCCACCAGCAGACACTTACTTGAGTTTATGTAGCCACTGCTGCCATGTGTCAGGCTGTGCTTCTCTAGCCTGCTCCCTCCACTAAGAGAGCCTGTTTTAGCATAGCCATTGCTGGTTCCCCCTTCTGCAGGAACAAGAAGCAGATGACAATTTATGGGTGGAGTCAAGCCAGGGGGTCCCTTCCTCCTTGGCTGTGGAGACTACCCCTGGCTTATCTCCTACCACCCAGTTGGTTTGGAGTCCCTTTACAGGTGCAAGCTGCCATACTCTCATTTATTTGGTTTTGATAGAAATGTCAAGAGCAAATATTCCACCCAATTTAATAGGAAAGTCTTCTGGGTGGAGCACAGCAAGTTGCTCATTAGTAAAACGTAAGTGTTAGAAAAGACAGCTGAGTGATAAAAAAGCTCTGGGAGGCCAGGACATGGGTTGGGCTTGCTTTTTTGACATCGCCTGGTCAGTGCCACAGACATGGCAGCCACTAGACCTGTTGAGGGGGTGAGTGACTGCTCTGTGTTGCTGGCCTTCCATGTGGCAGCCTGTCAAGCTCTGACTTCTTGTCCCTATCTTCTGCAAGCCAGGCTTCTTGGGAGGTGCAGGGGTATAGCTTTAGGGCTTGGTTCTCTAACACAGAATCCACTAAACCTAAGGACTTCCTCAGGAAAAAAGTGGACTGAGACAGAAGCCTGACTGGTGGTTCCCTTCTCCTATCCTGCGCTCAGGCTGGATAAGGTTTCTGATACAAGTGTCCAATCAGGTAAATCTATAGAGACAGAGAGTAGATTCGTGGTTCTAGGGGGCGCTGGGGAGAGGGGCAGCAGAATGGGGAGTGACTGCTAAGGGTCATGAAGTTCCCTTTTGGGTCGGTGGAATGTTCTAAAATTAGATTGTTGCAATGGCTGCACAACTCTGTAAATATACTGTGAAAATTAACAAAAGGAAACCTCTCTAAAGTGAACTGATGCCAGAGGGGGAGGCTGAGAGGGAAGCCATGCCGCTTAAGGTCATTTACAGACCCAACAGAAGAATCCTCAACAGGAAAGAGTCATCAGTGAGAGGCCCCAACAGGGAAAGATGTACATTGCCTCTCCTACGGAAAATCTACTTCGCCTGCAACTCGGCCAATGAGAAACCATCCATCACCCCGAACTCTTGCTTTTCTCCAATGATCTTTCATTTAAACCACATATCTACAAACATTATATGGTCCCATTCATTTGGGGAATATAAATAATAATGAAAGGGAATAAAGGGGAAAGGAGAAAAAATAAGTGGGAAATATCAGAAAGGGAGACAGAACATGGAAGACTCCTAACTCTGGGAAACGAACTAGGGGTGGTGGAAGGTGGGGAGGGCGGGGGGTGGGGGTGACTGGGTGGTGGGCACCGAGGTGGGCACTTGACGGGATGAGCACTGGGTGTTATTCTGTATGTTGGCAAATTGAACACCAATAAAAAATAAATTTATTATTAAAAAAAATAAACCACATATCTCAGCTTCCTCTTTCTTCTCCCTAAAATAATGTTCCTCTCCTTTGTTTGTTGGACTTGCCTCTGCTTCTGTCTTAGCTGTTTGTTCCAGGTTGTGATTCTGTGCTATTTTGCTGGTAAAATAACTGGCAGTTTTATTTTTAAGGTTCATAAGGCTAACAATCATTGAATTATATACTTCAAATGGTGGATTTTGTGGTATATCAATTAATGTCAACATAGCTGTTAAAAGAGATTTCAGATATTTTGGAATTGCTCAACTGAAGAGTGAACAACTATGGGAAAGGTTATATGTGGAGTCCTTCGCACATGCCTTACTGAGAAGAAAGCTCTCAATAGTCACTTACTTGGTGGTAAGGATGTAAGTCTTGTGGTTACTGTCTCCGTGATAACTAGAAAAAGACAATAAAAAGATAAGATCTTACATAATGCACTGAATTCCCTGTATTTTGGCAAGGTCTAACATCTGTCATAGGCTTAACATCTTAAACTAGGCTCAACATAGATTTTTGTATACTTGTGCTTTATAGTATGGATCTGACCCTCTGTACATGAAAATATGTGCAATAACAATGGGGTTTAATGTACCTGGAAAATATCCTTTTGGAACCAAAAGTAGTCACCCCCTGATTAGAAGGATGACTTCCCTTGGCATCCATGCCTCTCATTTAACAATTAGATCCAGTCCAGACCTAGATTCACCTCTGGAGGAGGACCAAGGCCTCAAGCCAACTCTCAGGTGTGTCGAGCCACACTCTGTCTGCATTGCCCCTTCCAAATGGTCACCCTGTCCAGCTGGGGGCCAGTGCATTATCCTAATTTCACTGTGAAGTGGATAATTACTTTGTGCTTCTTTTTCAACTGGGGATGCAAAAGGACATAAATCATTCTAACATCTTCAGGATCACCCCTGAGTTGGGGCGTTGTAGGAAGGTGGGGAGGGGGTTGGTAAGTCACATTTGGTGCTTGGTGACTCAGAGACAGATGAGCATCAAAGACCGACTTGAATAACCAGCCCCTTTGCCTCCCCAGACTGAGTTTCTCTAGACTCTCAAGTGATGGTGAATCCATGGAGGTTATAAAAGTCTCCTGTATCTTTTAAACACCAGTTAGAAGAAAAACTTGTTGCCTTCCTGAACCGCTCTCTCCCCTGCAGCAACATGGGGAGGTGGGTGGATTCTTAAAACCACAATGGGGCCAGTTCTGTTCTCTGATGGTGACCATCATCACCACCTCCCTGTGTGTGGGACATAAAGGAGGAACAATCAGCTGAGGTCAACGGTCTTTAACAACACACTTGCGTAGTGTGTGCATGTGCACATGCCTGGCTATATGTGCATGTGTGGTATGTATATGCACATGCCCAGGTGTATGTGTGTGCATGGTATACATGAGCACGTGCCCAGGTGTATGCATGTGTGTGGTGTGCATGTAAGCATGTCTGGGTGAATGTGCATGCACGGTGTCCCTGTGTGCATGCATGTCAGTAAGGATGGTGAAAGGAGAAAAAGTGCAGGATGGTTTCTGCCAATTTAAGCCGTTCTACGAGATACTGCTCTATCCTGCACCAGTCTTGCTGCCCCCACCCCTTTCCTTCTTTGCACGGTATTTTCCCAATTGATTTCCTTGCTCTGGCAGGAACATGAGGTGATGACTATGGCAGAAAATGCATTCCATGCATAACAGGAAGTGGTTTTTCAGACTAAAATGGCAGCTTGATTTAAATAACAGTCCTTGAGCTTTCACTAAACCTCTCATTGTGTGGACCTTTGGGATTGTTGGACACATAAAAATAAATTATTTCTTAACCTAAAGTTTCAAGTCCGTGAAGCCAGAATTTTTTTTATTAGAGATATATGAAAGTCACAGGATAAATGAAAGACTTAAAATGGTTTAGGGGACAGTGTAAATGTCTCTGAATTTATCATTTGGGCAGTTTCACAAAAGGAATGTGCCTGTTTTCAATTTCGGTGTAGATTGCAACAGTGACACTAACTTTGTCCCTGCAGTAAGTAGGATATTATTCTTTTAGATTTCTGTTGCCCTGTATTCTAAATAAAGACATGGTTAAATGACTTATGGCAAATTCATTCCACAGAATATTATGCAGCCTTTTAAAATGCTGATTATGAAAACTAAAGGTCAAAATGGTAATTTTCATTTTTGAAGAAAAAGCAGAACACATTTTGATTACAGGTATATTAAAATCAACAAAAGTTATCTCATGGGAAGGAGTAAAGACTAGGAAAACATTTTAAATGATATGGTGAAAAAAAGCAAAAAAAAAAAAAAAAAACAACCCAAGAAAATCTATAAATAATTTAGAAATGAAAAAAAATTTAGAAATGATACACAAGTTGCAATGTAATCTGGCATGAATTACTCTTTCCGATATTTTTTATTACTATTAAATTATATATCTCATGCTCTTACTTCTTTCAGTGACTTCAGAGCCATCTCTCTTGTTTTTCTTGGTTACATCCATACCATCGCCACCTGCAGAAAAGCCAGAAATCATGATCAGCCATGATTCTTACCATCATTTTAAGGAAGTGTAGGTCCCTACTATGGAAACAGAGAACCAAAAACACTTGACTCCTAGAATTCAAGTCATGGTTCTTTCTTGTGCATATTTTATACAAGAGTCCTTTCCACTCCTTGATTCAGTTGTAAGAGAGAGTCATTTAATAGTTCCACTTTGGATTCTATTCTTCTGGATGGGGTGTATTTTTTGGGATCTCATTGACCAGGCTGCCCCCTGCTGAGCATTATCGGGATTACAGACGTGGTGCCCTGACCTTTGCAAAATCTCCATTCTTCGCCAAAGTAACAGATAGCTGGATGTGGGTCAAGGCACTTGGTACTTCTAACGAACTCATTTTGTGGTATCCCATAATGTTCAGTGTCTATATGGAACTTGATGGACATAAGACATTCATGCTTCATTATTTAGAGTTTAGATGGGAGAATGATGCTTGATGGATTTAAATCAGGAAAAAAAATATTGTATTGTTGGTATTTGTATGGCACTTAACACTTATCACAATATGGAGCTTTCCCTTCATAACAAGCTAGCCCCAGTATACTAATTTACAGACATGAGAAGGAAAAATATATGAAGAAAATGTGTAAGACCTACGGAAGTATGTAGGAAAAGACATATTTGTATATTATCTATGTTCCCCCTTCACTCACTGCTTCTGGAAGGGAAAACCAATGGTTTTCTTGTCCACTGTGTCCTGAAGTGTAGAGGACTGAGGCCATCTGACAGTAGGAAGCTCGGGGTAGGAGTGGAGGTGGGGGTTACACACACAGGGTTACACAACAAGGATCTCCATCCCAACATTCTTCCTGTGTTTCCCAGTCCCACATCTGGGAGGACTTGAAATCTAGCTTTTCCTAGTAGTTCTCTCTTTCCCCTAACTTTTCCTTCCCCTTTTGGGTGCAGTTCAAATTGGATTCTAGAATTCTGGGCAAGCCCCTTCTGCCCAGGATGCCCCTTGTTTGAAGATTTCTCCTTTCAGCTTTTTTCCCCCTGATGGCCTGATGACTTCAGGGTCAACTTAGCTGTTAGGCACACAAGGCACAGTACCTAATCCTATCATACTTTTAAGGGCCCATGAAAGTTTTAATTTCTTTTTAAAATCAGAAGGAGAGGGGCACCTGGGTGGCTCAGTTGGTTAAGCATCTGTGTTCAGCTCAGGTTGTGATCCAGCCCCACATCAGGCTCCCTGCTGAGCCGGGAGTCTCCTTCTTCCTCTCCCTCTGCCCCTCCCATCTGCTCATATATTCTCTCTCAAATAAATAAAAATTAAAAAAAAATTAAAATCAGGAGAAATGGGGCGCCTGGGTGGCTCAATCAGTTAGGCAACTGACTCTTGATCTTGGCTCAGGTTACCCTCTCTGGGTCCTGGGATCCAGTCCCATGCTGATCTCTGTGCTGAGTGGAGAGCCTACATGAGGCTTCTCTCACCCCCCTCTCTGCCTCTGTCCCGCTCCTACACCTGCTCTCTCTCTCAAATAAATAAATCTTAAAAAGAAAAATCTTTAAAATCAGAAGGAGAAATGAACACAATCTAACCTGGTTTATATTCTTTCAATGCAGTGATAAAATATAATTTTTAAAGGTTTATTTGTTTGTTTTTTAAATGCAGGAAGGGATCCACACAAATGAAAGCGTCTAGGACTAATGAAAGTCATAATGCCTTGGGTGACTTCCTTGCTGAAAACCAAGGCCACAGGAGACCAGCTGCTCGGCTACCCAGTGGAATGAACCAAGGTCGTCACAGTTAGCTTCAGGGACTGGTTGAATGTGCCAACTTCCTGCTCATGGGAGTTTCTTAAATGCAGCTCTAGGCAAAGAATGAGGCATCATGGAAAAACTCCTGACTGGATCTGAGAAGGCACAGAAGGTGGCTTTGGCTCTGGTATGTTTCCTGGAGCCAAAGAGGAGGGGCTGCATAGACAATTCATAGGGAGTCCAGCCTCTTTAGAAGGCCAAGCCTGGCCTGTGTCTGTGTCTGTATTCTGACTACAACCTGTATGACTATTGTCATGAAAACTTACATGCTACCAGATACCTTCTTTGAAATCTTTTGTTTAAGCAGCAATTGCCTTTGGTAACTCTGAAGCCCCCTCTGCCTTTTCTTTCTTTTTTATTTTTTTAATTGGTCATTAGCTGTGGACCAGGAGGCATTTTGGAGATTAAACACTCAAATGCACCTGGCTGCTAGTGGGGAACCACCTAGGGTGGCACTTGAACTGATATGAAATACTATCCGGAAAGGAACTGTTTATAAAAAGCCATGGAAGTTTTACTTCCCACAAGTTATTGTGTATTTTGATCCTCTACAGAAAGCTGCTGCCAGCAGCTGTACATTTGGGTTTGGATGGGTTTATTTGACTCATAGCCATCAAGGCAGACTGATGATGGCTCCAACTGATAAGGGTCTCCATTTCCAGGCAGCAAACCTAGTGAGTGTTTTCTTCTCTCTGTACTCAGAAAAATAACCCACTTTTCTAGGTACTGCTAATCTTTTTCTTAAGTCCTAATGATGGAGCCTTGAGGTATACAGCAAAATGCCAAGAGTTCTCCAACTTCCGCAGGGCACAAGGAGACCACCTGCTAAGAAATCAGATACCCTCCTCCAGGGCCTGGAGGCTTCTTATTAGAAGGTGCTCCGGGAGAGAATGGGTGTGAGGTGGGTGCAGGTGGATGCGCCCCTGTCTCTCTTTCAGCCTGAAGCCCCTCAGACAGCTGTGCCCTTGGCTATCCAGAATGATTTCTTGGGCCTGGAATACACAGGATGGAGTTCTGTTGACTTTACCACTGATAGTCTGAAGTGGCAGTTGTGCGGGGAGGTAGATTCCTTTAAACCAGACATAAGATGAAAGTGTTTTTCAATGAGTCGTCAAAAGGGAAGTGATGGGTCGAGGCACAAACCTGGTCCCATAGGGACCTACAGTATTCCCACAGACTTCCTTTTTAAACATTCCTCGTGCAGATAGTTTTAAGAAGTGTAAGTTAGGGAAAGGAAAGTTACAAGCCCGGGCACATGCCCCAGCCTGCCTCTCCCAGAGAGCTCACCAGTGTGTTCTTCCCCCAAAACACTACTTAATGGAAGCACTGTCAAGTAGCATAATTTTTAACTCTTTTAATTGTAACTTCTTTGATGTTTAGGCCATTTCACTAGAGCCAAGGAAGAGTAGTAGGTCTCTAGGTTCTCAATTCCAAAATTATGCTAATTTCCACCCGTAGTTCTAAGGGGCTGCTTTGTGGTTATTTCATGGTTAATGTTCTTTAGAAGATGTAGAAAATGATCCCGAGATATTTTCTTATGCAGGAAAATGCAATTCAAAATCATTTTTCTACTCTTTTGAATTTTTTCTTTCCACTGCATTTAAATGATGTCACATTCACCTAAAACTAACTATTCTATGGGTGGCGAATGTAAAAACAAGGACCAACCACTGTTAGGGACAGTCAGCTCTGACACAGACCTTATTCTAATGACCCATAAGACACTTGCTCTTCACTAAGGAAGGGAGTAGAGAGACTAAGTGTTTTCTAGTTCCTATTTTAAGAATGAATCTTCCTATCCTCTGCTAAGGAAATGCAAGTATTTTTACAGCTTCTATTACTCCCATCTCTGTATGCTTCAAATTTTAAAACAAAACAACAAAATGGTCAAAGCATGAGAAAACCATCCACTACTGGTGATCTGTTAACACAGATGAAGCAAGCAGTTTGCTTGCTGGCCAGGAAAATCAGTGCCCTAGGGTGCATTGTCTCAGAGGCTTTTGTCTCTACAAACCTCAGCAAAGGGTGTGCCACCTTGCCCAGGTAGGCATCCTTGATTTCCATACTTTGGGGTTGGGGGAGTTTGGGCACCATCTCTGTGATTCTGTGACTTGTTTACAGACGTGTTTCAGGAAATCCTGCTGATGTTAATAACAGCAAAGGAGCCAAACCACAGAGACCTAGACTTCTTTTGGGCAAGCATAATCTAAGAATGAGGTTGGTTCTTAGGTGGGATCAGTTTCACGAATCTGAGCTTCTACCCAAGCTTGAAGCAAGGCTCTTTTACAGTCCCCATGTAAACTCTGATCAGATTTGTGTGGGCCTCTTGGAGGGGCACAGAGTAAAGCTGGTGCCTCTGATTCTCTGAAGGGCACCCATAAGGAGTGGACTCAGATCTGTGCCTTAGTTCTAAGAGCAGATGGGGGTGAGGAGAAACCGTTCAGCTTCTCAAATGACTATCTTTTAAAAACCTCACTCTATTTTATGGACATGAACAAATCCGACCATTAGCTACTGATTAACAGCTACTCGGATGAAGTGATATGCCAGATGCTTTGCCTACACTCCAAAAAGCAAAGTGGTAATTTGTCATTGAGCAGTTAGTGTGGGCCGGTGAGATACTGGAGTTGGTCTTGGTCTAAATTTGACTCCAGGAAATTCCTGGATGAATTATATCATTTAAGATATTACACTTTACTTTAGATTAGAGGCAGTATGTTGAGAGTGTGATAAACAACCATGTCTGTCCATCCTCTTAAGCTTAATCAGAACCTTCCAGCACAGAGGCCCAGGGAGCACGTCAGCTCCTAGGGCTCAGGGGCTGCTGGTATAAGCTTCCACTTACCTACACTTTACCTTCCCCTTGGAGATATTCTCTGCTGTCAAGGGAAGATAAGGAAATAGTAGTAGAGTAGTAGAAGTAGGAGGGAGAAGAGAGAGCAAGAGCGAGAGCTTGAGACTGAAGGAATCATAACTCTATCCCATTCTAAATAAAACTATTAACATGAGCCATTTAACAATACTGAAAATAATACCAAAAAAGAAAAACAATGTGGCCACGAGACCCCAATTTATTTCAACTGGCCTTTTTCTTCTTCCCCCAAGATGAGTCTTTCTTACTGTTCCTTTAAAAGACCCACCCTAGGCGGACTGCAGAAACTCAAGTAACTTTTTGTGATCAATTAACTGCTTCTGCCACAATGCTTGCACCTTAATAATTTCATATCGTTTTCTCCAACAAACACTTAAATTCTCAATAGCAAATGTCCAATCAAAGTCCCAGAAGAAGGGAGGAAGGGTGACTCCCTCCTGCAACTTACCTTCTCTGAGAACTGGTAGGGACTGGAAACAACTTTGAAGAAACCCCCCTCTCTCTTTCTCCTCCTGATGTTTTCTCCAAGACGTTTGCAGGCCCCACTTTTTTTTATCCAGACCCAGCCCAGGTGTGTTAGAGCTGAGTGATCTTTCAAAAATGTTCACCTCTCCTGCTCTCCCCCTTGTTTCTTTCAGTTCTTTGCTCCCTAACAAGTCCTGACAAAGGTGTGTCGGGGTTTACAATTACTCCACCCTTCCAATTATCTGACACTTGCTGCATTTAAAAAAGATCTGCCTCCAGGAATCAAACTTTACAGGAGGCAGAAAGTTTCTCCTACCACAGTAGGCCGATTAACCATTTATGGGTCCGTGGGGACAAAGGAACAAAGGTAAAGGAAATGCCCTCCATTAATTTCCTTGTCTTTCATAACCAGGGAACTGCCACAACTCAATATTCCCCTTTCTTGTGGCCAAAGAATTGTAAAAATCCCAAGGAGCAGGACTCATGGTGTGGCCAGGCTTGTGGGGGGCCTGTGGGCAGAGTGTCTGATTCCTAGAAAAACTGTGAAGTTGGCAGTGTTCAAGACCTGTTTCTCCTACATCTGCCTTTGCCCTCTTTCCCTCATTCTGACCCAAGCCTGGTCAAGCCCACCTGGAGGAAATGGGTGAACTCATTTAGAATAAGATATGAATGACTTAAAATGTGGAACAATTGCTGGTATAGGGATTCGTTTTTTAAAAAAGGGGCAGCCAGGTTTAATGATATTGACTCCAAAGAGTGAAACATTAGTGAAAGATTTTAGGCATCTAGCCACCAAATAATGGAGAGATAACTGCTGAGGAAGGTTAAGAGACTTTTTGCCGTTCAAATCAGGCCAACACGGTCTCCATACACCCAAAGACAAATATGGACTCCCAGAAACCCTATAGTCTCAGCTACGTTCTGTGGAGTCATAAGACTTCTCTAAAGAGTCAATTTACACCAATCTACATAATTCTCATGAATACCTGCTTAGTATCTGGCTTTCCAGGACCCCTGTAGACTAGCTTGAGACTCTTGATATGGGTCATATGGGACATATGAACCTGGAAGTCACTTAGGTGGTATTCTCAGTCCTGAGGGGAGCCGCAGGATTCCTGCAGTGTACACTAATGCACGTCTACACCCCATGATTATGGGCAATCACCCCATGTAAAAGGGTAGCCAACCACTGAGCACTACTTGCAGGGGTCTTGCTCCTAAGCTCCCAGTATTCTGCCTGGGGTCCCACACTTCAGAACCCTTTCCATGACCTACAATGTGACACTACTAGGTTCTTGTTTTCTAGGATGTTCCTGCCTACCCAAATAAATACTCAATGTCTGCTGTCAATTTCATAGGAGAAGAACACTGGAAATCTGGAAGATGGAGAGCTTTCAGCATAAAACTGAAATGAACCTACATCATTCATTGATTTACTCATTAATTCATGAATTAAGCAAACACATGTTGACTCCTGCTCAGAACCAGAAATTAAAGTGTATGTTGAGAGTTTAGTGGTGAAATACAGACATATTCTCTAACCTTACAGAACTCACAGTCTAGAGGAAGAAGACAGTCCTTACATCTATTACTCTGCTAAGGCTGCCAGGACAAAATTCTGGTGGCTGACACAACAGAAATGAATTTTCTCACAGTTCCAGAGGCTGGAAGTCCAATACCAACATGTCACAGCTAGGTTTCTCCTGAAGCCTCTCCCTTGGCTTGCAGAGCGCTGTCTTCCTGCTGTGTTCTCATGTGGGCTTTGCCAGTTGTCTCACTATGTGTCCTAATTTCTTATAGGGACACAGATTGGATTAGAGCCCATCCTAACAGCCTCATGTTAACTCCTTCATTAAAAGCTCTATCTCCAAATCATCATCACATTCTAAGATACTGGGGGTTAGGTTTCACCATCTGAATTTTAGTGTGTGGGGGGATAAAATTTATAACAAATGATGTTCATAACAAATAATTATGCATCGATATACAATTAAGAATGTGATAACTATTATAAAGACAGAATGCTGGATTTTATCAGAGAAGAGGAGAGGTCATCCAGAGTAGGGTTCAAAGGGCAAATCCTGCTAAGAAGGTAACATTTAGACTGACAGAGAAAGGTTGAACTGAGGTCATACAGGTGAAAGGAGGGGTTGAGACTGTTCTAGAATTTAGACAGAGAAGAAAATATTTGAGAAGGCTCTGAAGTAGAAGAAGCAAAGTAAGTTTGAGGAAAAGTGATGCCAATCTGTGAAAGTATACCAAAGAGATGGTGGCAATGGGAGAGAAGCTAGAGCGAGAGCAGGGGCTAGATCACACAAGGCCTCATTAACCATGGGAGGGAAGTGTTTTTAGGCATTAGGAAAATGTTGTTAAATCGACATTAGGAAGCAACTCCATACTGGCACTGTGTGGGTGTTTGGATTATTAAGAAAGAAGAGAGACTGGAATTAACGTTTTCTATGGTCTGTTGTGCACCTGATATTTTACATACATTATTTTATTTATTCCCTTTAGCAACCTCTAAGAGGTGTATACTATTATTTTTTTTTATTTTATAGCTGAGAAAAATGAAATTCAGGGAGATTGAGCAACCAGGCCAAAGATTTTACATCTATTAAGTGGCTCCAGAAAGGGCAGAGGGCCTATAAATGGAGTAAATGATTGATCATATGTATCTGATGAAGCCTCCATACAAAACCAATTGAATGGGGCTCAGAGAGCTTCCAGGTAGGTGATCAGATCCGCATACCAGGATAGTGAGACAGTTCCACGGGGAAAGAAGCTCCCGTGCTCAGACCTTCCCAGACCTCACCCTATGCATCCCTTCATCTGGCTGTACATATGTATATTTTATCATATCTTTTAATAGTTAATTAAACATAAATTAGTGTTTCCCTGAGTTCTGTGAGCCGCTCTAGCAAATAACTGAACCAAGGGAGAGGAGGTCATGGGAATCTCTGATTAATTGCCAAGTGGAACAGAAGTTTTGGGTAACCTGAAAACCTATTATCTGTGATTGGCACCTGCAGTGGGGGAGCAGTCTGTGGGACTGAGTCTTTACCCTGTGGGATCTGACAGTCTCCAAGAAGACAGTGTCAGAATTGAGTTAAATTGTAGGACACATGGCTGTTGTTGTAGAGCTGCCTGATGTAGGAACCCCCCATCCCCACCAACATTTGGTGACCAGAGAGTCCAAAGTACTGTGGGCTTAGTAGTGATGTGAGAGTAAAGGAAGACACAAGAGGAGAACTGGGTTGTATGTGTGTGTGTTTTGTTTTGTTTGTTTTATACAATGGCAGAGCCTATACTTCATTTAACTCTTGAACTCTCATTTCCCATTGCCTGGTATATCATTAAAATTTAAATATGTCCATAGCTTTGAACTGAAGAAATAGGTAATATCAAAATAGATCAGGCTGAGAACAGAAGACAACTTAAATCAGAAAGAAAACCATCTGAATGCTGGAGATATTTGCCACCAACAGCATAATGATGTTGGTATAATTTATTGATACATTTAGGTAAATATCTATCTATTAGGACTTGGCAACCACGGACCAGTTATTTAACTATAACCACTATATAAAACCAAACATGCTAATCAACCACTGGAATCAGAATGGCTGTCTTTTCCTGCCCTTGGTGTCCTGTAATAACATAATTCTCCAGGGACAACGGAAAAGTCAGACCCAAACTAGATAAGCCCCAAAGTAATTTATCCAAGATCCTCTAAGCTAACTCAATAGCTAACTGAGTCTGTGAGTATGTGTGCTGTTTAGAGTCCTGTACTAAGCACTTTGGGAGAGAAGGAAATTAAAAGAATTCAAGTGTTTATATTCCAGTTATTCAATATTCATCATTTATTGTGCTTGGCAAAATCATTTATAAGAAGACATTATCTTGGTACATAGAGTGAAAGAAACCTTATATTCATTCAACATTCATATATCAAATTCCTATCATATGTCTGGAACCAGGGGAGTTGTCTTTTAAATGTTTTAAATTAACCAGAAAAAAAGCGAAATTCTTGCTGAAATGAAGGAACAGAGTCAGATTTAGGAAGTAGCAGTGACTAAGACACCGGAAAGGTGTTTCTTTTTCCCTGCTCCATTCAGAGCTGTGTTAATGAGTCACATTTAATCAATTTGTAATGGACTAGAGAGAAAATTTCCTTAAGTGGCAACTGGAAAAATATTCATCCTCCCCAAATTGTCTACTGACTTTTAAATAGGTTGGGAAGAAAGGATGCCTATTCACATGTAGCCCAGATTGGCACCTCGTGGCCAGATTCTCATCACTTGCTGAGCAATGTTGAGTATAGGTGGACCCTGTTTTATGTGGCTGCCAAGTTTCTGAAAAGTGATGCATAGATCTACTTTTTGGTGACAGGGTGAATGTTTTTGTCAAATTCACCACCTCATTAATCTTTGTGAAGACAAATTTTTCTTTCTTTATTTGGTTTAAAGGAATGTACCCTATAGACGGATTTCTACCAATTTTGTGATCCTCCTTTCATAAAATATCACATGACAGTGATATGTTGTTCTGATGATACTTTCATCTAGGAATCCTGAAGTTTTGGAATATACTTGCCTTGCATTCCTAAGAGACAATAAGAAGTTCACTGAGAAGGTGAGAGAAAATAATTTTATATTTACTGAGATAATTCCAGTACCTACAGTCAGCAATTCAGCTCTTTTGGAGGATAGTAAATCCATTGCTTTTTTTTTTTTAAATAAATTCCTACATGTTAAAATAAAAATGATACAATAATTATTTGTTGCAGTTTGCTACTATATTTCTAAGACTAGAAGACCATATTTCTGCCTAGCTTTCTCTTTGGTTGCATGTTCTTCTGGATAATAAAACTTCCTTGTAAACAATTATGACAACAGCATATGTCACAGTTTATGGAGCAGTTTGGCTTTTGGAAGGATGCAGCTAAGATACAGTGTACCAACTCCTGCCCTTCACATGTGGGCTTACATTCTCCATCTGCTTTTCCTGTCTATAATGGTTCTTGAATTGTTCCCAAACTGTATTCTTTGCTGCTTTTATTATAATAATAAAGCATGTGGTTTCTTGCTTCCATTTCTAAATTCAGATCTATTCATTCATTTATCCACTCAGAACCCATAAGTACTTATTGAATGAGTAAACAAGTATCTGTTGAGT